TAGCAGCAAAGTGTTGCAGCATTCTTCTTATGAGGTCAGCAAATGACATAACCAATACTGAAAAATTAACCCTGCCCACAGCACGGAGTTTGGAATCGGATGTTCCTTGAGGCCCCTTGCAAGCTGAGCCATTCTGTGAATGCAGGATTCTGCTCCAGAAAGCGCCCAATGGGCCCAGCTATCCGTCAGTGACAGGGGGACTGACTTTTTCCTGGTAAGAATTCAGCAGGACAGCGCAGTCATTTTTCTTATCGAGCACACCTACAGGAACGAGGAGCAGAGCGAGGTGCCTGCAGGCAGGAAGGACAGCACGAAGGGGCAGCGCGCGGACAGCGCCTTTCTGCACTGCTGCCGGCCCGCCGTGCTCAACGTAACCCTGCAGTAAGAGATGCCCTCGAGCCTGCAGGCGCCCAGCAAGGCACAAAGCACGGAGTTCCACCGGCCCGAGAGCCGCAGCTGCACATGATGTCTTCTGGAGGCTCATCTACCTGCGAGGGCCTCGAATGCGTAAAGAGAGACCCATCGTTAGAGAGCGACCGCGGCTCGGCTCCGGGCTCGGCTCCGCCCCACTCCCGCTGCCTCCCCACCGCCCCGCTCCGGGATTGCAGCGGCCCGCCCCGCCGGGGCCTTTCGGTGCCGGCGCTGTTTCCGGGGCGAGCGGCCGCGCCTGCCCCAAAGTCACGGAGCCTCGGCGGTTCCGAGGTGGGGAAGGACGGAGGCGGACGGAGGGGGACGGCCGCCGGCCGAGGGGAAACACCGCGCAGCTCCCCGGGTGGCAGCAGGCAGCGGGGCGGGCAGCCACGCGGGGCCTCGGCTCGGGCGGGAGAGCGGCGCGGCTATGGAGGAGCCGGACGCGGAGCCACCGCTGACGGTCAGGGCCGGGGCCGCGGGGCCGCTCCGACGGACCGTAACGGGTCGCCCGTCCCCTCACCTCGCCTTCTCTCCCCCCGCTCCCTTCCCGCAGGTGGTGCCGGGCGCCGACCCGGCCCGGACGCGGCTGTGCTTCGCGTGGGGCCCCGCCGAGATGCTGCTGTGCGAGACGCTCTTCGGCTGCAGAGGCAGGGAGCGCCGCGAGGCTCCGGGAGGCAGCGCAGGGCCGGGGCCGGCGGGGTGCGGCGCTGCGGGCGGTGGGGACGGAGCGGCGGGCCCCGCGTGTGTGTTCGTGGTCCGCAGGGATCAGGACATCTACATGGAGACGCTGCGGAAGCTCTTCAACGAATCCCACGGCATCTTCGTCGGGCTGCAGCGCTGCGAGGAGGAGCGAGCCGCGAGGGCGAGGAACGCGCAGTGAGTGGGGCTGGGGCCGCGGCGCTGGGCGTCTTGTAGGCAAACAGCGTTGCCCGAAAGGGCCCAGAGCGCCGAGAACCGGGCGGATGTGCGGTTCCAACCGCAGTTCCGGGGTGATCGTGGAATGGCTAAGGGGGGAGAAGACATGAAGGGGCCAAACCCCATCCCACCGCCACGGCCCTCGGTGCCACATTTCTGCCTCCAGGACGACCCCGCACCTCGCCTGTGCCAACCCCTCACCGCTCCTTCTGGAAAGAAATCTTTGCTAATATCCAACCCGAGCCTCCCCGCCACATTTTACAGCCGTCACCCCTGGTCCTGTCTCTACTACCCGGGAGAAGAGGCGAAGCCTCACCTCACTACAACCTCCTTTGAGGCCCTGAGCAGTGCCTGGGATCCTGCATACCCGGGACCAGCACAGCCACCCATCAGGCTTACCCCGTGCTGGAAGCACCCACAGATGCACAGAAAGGGGACTAATCCCAGTAGCTCTCTGTAAATTATCCCTTTTTGTTTGGCAGATTAGTCCAAGTGAGCAAAAACTACCGCTCGGTCATAAGAGCCTGCATGGAGGACATGCACCAGGCTGCAAGTAAGTCTGTTTGTTGTACTGCAATAACAGGAGATGCTATTTGTGATCAGCAAAATAAGATTTCATTTGGAAGTTGTTACAGCTACTGAAAAATGGCATGTATAAACTTCAGTAATTAACAAGATTCCATTTCCATCACTGAGATTTTCAGGTTGGTTCATCATCTGGTAGCTGATTTCGGGAAGATTTGCAGTCTTTTCATGTCATGGGTTGTGGTTTTGTGGAAAAATGAGTCAAAATTAACAGCTTTCCTGAAAAAGTGAGAGATCTCACTTTAACATCCTTGTCCTGTAAATTTATCAGATTTATAAAGAGGTATGAAAGGTTAGCTTAGCTTTATCAGTTGCGTACACATTTGGGTCTGTACCGAGTGAGTGGTCAGGGATTGCAGTTATGAGCTCACAAAGTACTCTGAAATAAGGTAAATATGCTACTTTTTGACTTGGCTTATTTTTCACTCAGTTTCAACCCGGGACTCTGCCCTGCACAGCCAGTACAGCATTCAGGTAATCTGCAGTCACAGCCGTGTAGTTGCGTGAATACTGGTTGGTAAAGCCATGAAGACCAACGCTGTAGCTGTAGTTTCGTTGTATAAACTGTGCTGATGTCGCTTAATTAGCCTTTTGTTCTTTCTGTGCTCTTTGTAGCTCTCTGGAGAGTAAACAGGCTTAAAATAACACTTTTTGTACTGTTTCCTATTTCCCTGAGGAGTGATTACTGTTGCATTTCAGTACACAAACAGTGTTGATATTTTGTAAACTAAATATGTGTAGAGAAGTTATGGCCCGTTTCTATTAATTTGTGTCTCTGAAATATCAGTATGACATTTATCTATAAAGACTGGTTCTTATGGACAGCAAATTCAGCTGTGCAGTTAAAAAAAATAATGGGAACAATTACCCTGAAATGCAGCTCTGCTTTTTTTCAGGTTTCTATTCTCTCTGCTATGGAGCTGATCTGGAATCTGTGTGAGATTCTGTTTGTTGAAGCAGCTCCAGGTGAGCAGCAAATAATTCTGATGTTAAGACTGAAAGTGGTCTTGTTTGCATAATTAATTGTTTAAAATGCAGATAGCATCCACTGTGCTAGATTTTAATAGATATTGTAGGAAGTATGATAAACAGCACTAAGTTCTAATACCTCTTCAGCCTCTGTAAATTGCATTTTTTTGTATTAAATTATGTCAAGATGCATTCTACTTTTTCCCCCCTTATGCAGTATGCTACAGTTTACACTGGCTTATTTATTTCCCACAGAAATGTAATGAAGAGAGATAAGAAAAACTTGTTCTCAATTTATTTGACTTTAAAGCATAAGCACATTCTTAACCATTAAATCAGTAGATACCAACTAACGTTTACACATCTTGATGTAATTCCTTTAACAACAGGATCACATTTCATAAGTGAGTTTGCTTATGAGTGATTCAGAATTGTTTTCTTAGGAAATCAGATTACGCGAACAAATATACTCACAATTCAAACCAGGGATTCATAAATTATAGATTATTTAATCCAAAGAAAAAGCAAAGTACCTACCACCAGATTTCATCCTCATATTTAGTTAATAATGAGATGATGGTTGTAGCAGAAATGCTAATCGTGGCTTGAAGCAGTGATGGAGCCCCTGATGGGAAGGCATGGCCAACCCAGGGGAGTTCAGGATGCATGCAATGCACTGAATGACCAGAAGGGATGGAGCCAGGATCCATCCCTTCCCAGCCCTCACTTAAGGGCTGGCAGTGGAGGCAAAGGGATCTCTGGAGATCTCTGCCTACCTGAGGCCTTCCAAAGGTAAGCAGCTTTTTTTCCTCCATTTCTGTGTCCATGTCAGCTGCATTTGGGCTTGTCCTCATTTGCTGCAGCCAAAGACATTGCCACCCTGCTATTACTGTACTTTCCATCACATTATAGCATTAGAATGGTAAATTTGGCATTTCAAGACTTATGATATGAATCTTCAAGTAACTTGTTTAGGTTTTCTTCTGGTCTGTACTTCTGCCTTGTCTAAAACTTGTCACAGGGAGCCTGGCGCTCCTGCAGCTTGGTTATTTAGGGAACTCTGTGCCTTTCTAGTTTGAACATGGCAGATGGAAATCTGCTTAGTAAATCTCGTCCAACGATTGTCAGACTGGTAAGGTTAGAAGCATATAAATGAACAGTTTGGGGACAAACAGATTTGGAGCTAACGACACCTTCTCTGTGTAAAGCCGGTCCTCTCCTGCTTCGTCTCCTTGACTGGGTTCAACTTCACATCTGTGATGTAGACAACATGGTCCGTGAAGTTCTGAGCAGTGACAATCCATCAAAACACAAGCTCTTCTGGAACGTGGTGAGTGCAGCCCCCGGTACAGCTTTTAGATGAAGAGAAAGTTGTGCCCTATGCATCTTGCATTCCTCTTCCCTTCTCAGCACTGTAGTACATCTCAGAAACCAATACTTGACATGCTGCTTCTGTCTGTACAGTTTTGAGATGAAACACTGTCAGGATCATCCTGCCCCTTGTTCTAACTTGAGCCTTTCAATTTCATGATTCACAGAGTTGTATATTCAAATAAGCAGGAGCTAAAGTTGAAATCTTGTAACTCTACTTAATTTTCTTGAAGATTCCCCTGATATTCTCCCTGGGTCTTTTGTAGCTTTGCACAGCTTGGTGCTCACAGATGTGCTTTCTGCAGGTGGATATCTTTGTGCTGCAAGGCCGAATGGATGAAGCACGCCACTTGCTCTCCAAGGAAGCCATTGCAAATCCCACATCAATGAACATGTACAAAATCCTGGATGATTTGATGAAGAAGATGCCCGTGCCCAGTGTATGTACAAAGCACTCTTTTTTTTTTCTGCACTGATTTTTTTTTTTCCTTAGTTCTATTAAGAAAGGAGATAAGAGCGATAACAGAATTAGTCTGTTTCATCTCTGCTGTGGCTCCTTTAACATCACAGGCTGTTGACCATTAAAACATCTGTCTTAATCCTTGTAAAAATACTTGTCCCAGTGACCCAAGGAATCCAAGAATACAGCCGAAAATCTGTTCGGTGATAAACCAGCATAGTCAGAAGTGATGTTTTTGTAGCAAGGTACATTGCTGGGTTATCTGAAACAGTTCCTGTTGAGAACTTACAGAGAAGTCTTTGAAGACCTTACCTGCAGTTTTCCTCTGTTGCGGTGATCTCCTTGTGGAGGAAAAATTGCAGCTGCATCTTTGATTGGTTGTCTTGGAATCCTTTTCCTTTATTTAGATACACAAATTAAGACATTTCAAATGCAACTGGAGAACAAGGGAAAAAATGACAACAACCTCCTTGTCTTTTTAGCATGAATGAGTGCAAGTTCAGACCAAATACCTGCTGTGACTTGGTATTTCTTTTTACTTTATGCCTCTTACTCCATGCAGCTTGGTAACACCCAAACGCTGACTGAGATGGAGCTGAAATGGCAGCACTGGCATGAAGAATGCCAACGTTATCTACAGGATGGAACCTTTGCTTCCAATTCCCACATGGAATCCATCTGCAAGGTGTGTTTTGTTTAAGAAAGGAAAGTGGACAAGTATTGGATTGTTGTGTACTTCAGAAGCCACATGTAGTGATAAGTACCTGTAATATGTTAAATCATCTGTTCATTAGATCACTTGTGCAGATTGCTTTCCTGTTCTAGGCTCTTAATTAAATTGTAAACTTTGCAAAATAATAGTAGTACCTTTAAAAAGTTAAGATGCAGCTGTGAACATTGCTGAATTTGCAGAACTACTCCTTTGCTTTCCTTCCTCTTAGATCCTGCTGGGAGATGAGAATGCCATACTAGAAAAAAAGGAACTCATGACTACTTGGTACCACTTTCTGGTTACTCGACTCCTGTATTCGCATCCAACTGTGAAGCCAATGGAACTGCGGTTCTATGCACAGGCAAGAAATATAATCATTTTTATATCCTCCATTTTAATGCACAGAAAGATTATGGTACTTTCAGAAAGCTTTGGGAAGGTTGATGTTTTATAGAAACTACATACAAGACTTTTCCTAGCATTTTTAAATGGACTGGGAGACTGATACGGGAAAACTAATGGTTGAAGACAAAGTCTCTTTAGTGTCTAGTGTTACCAGTTTTGGTCCTCAAATTGTCTTCCCAATTTCCTAATGCTAAAACATTGCTTCTTGGCTGCGTTCAGTTTCTGTGATACACTCTCCCATAAAATAATCTAAATGAGGCTATTGCATCAAAACAAATAGTTTTCCTTCTACCCTCGCATTTGTTTTTTAATCATGTTTTGTAATCTTATTCCAGTCTAGTATGGACATGTTCCTGGGTGAAGAAAGCAGCCCTGAACCTCTAGACATAATTTTAATGGCAGCCTTTGAATTTGAGCTTCACCAAGTGATCAAGGAGTGCAGGTTGAGTTCTTAAAGTTTTTGTTTCTCTGGATTTACCGTGTTGCTTCCAATAGCATTTGGGGTAGAGGATATGGGTACAGGCTGGAAATGCTATGCAAAGCGAGTAGCAAGTAAAAGTATTCCATTCGTGGGACGCTGCAACCAGACACCGTGCTGTAATACAGCTTTTGTAAGTGCAAAACCTCACACATTCCTTGGCAGCGATTGGCTAAGCATTGTTTTTGTTTTGCTTGTTTCAAATACAGCGTTGCTCTGAGCAACTGGTGGTTTGTGGCTCATCTGACTGACCTTCTGGATCACTGTAAACTCCTGCAATCTCACAATCTCTAGTAAGTATTTATTTGCACTGATTATTCAGTCACTCAGAAGTAAGAGTTACTGAAAGAGCACGTCAGTTTTGGTGAAAAAGAGCACCTTAGGTATTTATAGAAGATGGAAAATAAAAGCGCTCCGTCAGCCCGGACATTCTTCAGAAGCAGTTGCTGTCCTGATGAGACATGCTATTCAACAGGACTTCAGCAGCATTAGGGTTTGTGGTTTGGTTTAAGTGTATTTTTAGCTGAAATATTATCAGCAGCTCAAATGTTTGTGATAGTGAGAAACTCATCTAAAAAGAGTTTCCACACATAAGTCTTCAACAAACTTCATTATGAGCAATTCTGCTATTTGCATTCTCCTGCTGTTCCAGTTTCTTAAAGCAGTCATTACTGTAAGTTACATTTGCTAAATGCTGTAAAGATGTAGGTATCCCCCCAAGGATAAAGCTGCCCTGCAAGCTTAGGCTTGATATATGAAGCTTGTTAAGATAACCCTTGAGAAAACGTACTGCAGGTGCTTCTGAAATTGAGACAGGAGGCTTTTCTGATAAGGTGCAAATAGTAATGCCTATTTCTTTTTTTTCTTCATTCCTTCCCAGTTTTGGTTCAAACATGCGTGAATTTCTTTTACTCGAGTATGCCTCAGGACTCTTCTCCCATCACAGGTAGCAATCTTCTTTTTTTTTTTTTCCCCCTCTCTCCATAGGCTACACATAGCATCAGGACAGCAAAAAAAATAATAATAAAAAAAAAAACTTGCACAATAATAAAATGAAAAGGCAAAACTTAAGCCACTGTTAGAATTTCAGCAATCAGTTAAAACCTATCAGGTGTATTAACCAGGATGGAATGGCTGCTGCCTCTGTGACGCTTTTGGTGTACTGCATTTTTTACATGCAGGAATTCCAAAGTTGTGTACTAGGCAGCTGATAGTAGAAAGTAAAAACCATTTGGATGTAAAAAACATCCAAATAGTGTGTTAACCAGGATTAAGTATTATTAATGCAGACTCAAATTCTGCTTGTTCTTTCCTGTTGTGTTTATTTAAGATGTACAAGACTTGAAATGCTTGACTTTTTCTTCCCCCTCCCCCCCATCCTCCAGTCTGTGGCAGCTGGGGGTGGATTACTTTGACCACTGTCCAGAATATGGCAGGGTCTATTTGGAACTTCATATTGAGCGGATACCTCTTAACACAGAACAGAAGGCCCTCAAAGTGCTGAGAATCTGCGAGCAGAGACAGATGCACGAACAAGGTGACCGATTCTTAAATTTCACTGTTTTATAGTGACACAAGTGAAACTACTGAAATTGATTTTCTCTTTTCTCCTGTGTTTTCTCCAAAGTCCGAAGCATCTGTAAAATCATGGCCATGAAGGCTCTGCGAAATAATCGCCTGGGCTCTGCCCTGTCTTGGAGCATCAGAGCCAAGGATGCAGCTTTTGCTACGCTAATATCAGATCGGTGAGTCTATGTCAGAAGCTCTCAGGCGGCCATCATTGTAGTGGGCTGGTAGGAACGGGAATAAAGCAGCCATCCCAGAAAGGTCCCACTGCAGGCAGAGTGGGGTTATCTTTCTCTCAGACAAGGGTCTGCTTCTGGGCTAGAAAATGACATCCTTGGGTTTCTGTCATCTACAATAGCCTAGCTGTTTTTTTTTTTCCTACACCACTGAACTTCAGGAGATGGACAGATTAAACAGATTTGCTTTACCAAATAGTCCAGTAATAGAATTGAAAATGCTGCTAACACTTGGCTTAGACCTAGGCAAAGGGTTGGGGCTTCACTTGCAACTCTTTTTGTGCTTTTGAATCTCTAGCAGCCCATGTCATGGACATTTTTTTTTCTTAACTGAAATCAGATAGATAGCAATCTCTTGGTATAGTTATAGTTCCATAATTATGCTCTGGATAGATGGCTAGGTGATACCTCATCTTCAGCAGTGTAAAAGAAACTGCTGGCTTCCCCCCTCAATTTGTTCTTAGAGGGAGTGGGGAACAGTCATATTTCTTTCAACAGAAGTTGAAAGAAAAGCACTGCAGGAAGCAGATGCTGAAAAAAGCAGCATGATGAAGGTTGTGATAAAAGAGATGAAAAGCTTTTAGAATTGTTTCTATTGCTTGCCTTTTTAATTTCTTTTATTTATTTGGTGTTTTTAGACAGCAAAAAAAGAGAGCTTTGTTACCATCTGTGAAAGTTATTTATGTTGCTACCAGCCTCAGCTTTCTGCATTCCTTCCTTTCCTTATTCTTTTTAAGAAACAGATCTCAACTACTACAAAATCTAGAAGAAAAATGAAGTGTCAGCAAAATGCTCACTACGCTGACTCATTAACCACTCCCAGAAAATGTTTCTATGTCTTCTGAAGTTCTCAGTCATAGTTAATTAAGATGAAATTCAGTTGTATATTAAGCTTTCCTGTGAAGGGATGAGTAGATACAAAAGAAACATGAAAAACAGCCTCCCCTCTAAGTCTTTGCTGCATTTACTTTCTCCACAGATTCCTTAAGGACTACTGCGAAAGGGGATGCTTTTCTGACTTAGACCTCATAGATAATTTGGGACCATCCATGCTGCTCAGTGACCGGCTGACATTTCTCGGTGAGAAGGGCCTAATTTTCAGGGTGTTCTGTTCTTTATAACACAGCTACCTCTACACAGTTTATCTTCTGGCAATTGAATCTCCATTTCTGCATTATGTACAATTCTTTAAAAGCAAGAAAGATTCCCACTTGGTTTTCCTTTAGAAGTTTCAGGAACATCAGGTGTGCTTATTTACTGAAGAACTCTCACACATCTCTATCTCGAGCTCAAATGTTAATTGAAGTTGGATTGGAATGGGAATCGTTACTTCCTATATTTTTGCAGTTAAACAGATATAAGTCAGTCATAGAATAAAACACAGTTGTTCTCAGCCAATTATTATTCTAGGTATTATTGATCCAACTAATTCTTAGCAAAAGCAGAATATTCTGCACCAACAAAGATCTCATTTTCCATTTAAGCAGCAAAGCCTTTCACACCTCTCAATCTCCTGAGGTATCAGAAATAAATAAATAAATAACCTGAGTTGGAAGGAACCCAATAAGGGTCACTCAGTCCAACTCCTAGCTCCACACAGAGCCACTAAAATATCAAGACTGCACGTCTGAGAGGATTGTCTAAACGCTTTCTGAACTCTAGCAATTTGGGGCTGGAACATTCCTCCTCCACTCCTGTTTGTTTTTTTGTTTTGTTTTTTTTTTTCCCCTCTAAACAGATGCTGCCAGTCTCTCAGCCACTCGTGTTCCTCCCCCTGCAAACACTCAGCACCGGGCAGCATCAGTTCAGTAACAGGCTGATTCAAACAGTAACTCTTAGCAAAAACAGTGACAGTTTTTAACTGTTTTTTGTTTTTGTTTTTTTTTCCCCCAGACAACCTGTATTTTAACTTTCCTTCGTGCACAACATTCCCATTCCAAAGCAGCTGAGTCTAGGGGAAGTCTCTTATCTACTGCTTCATGAGAGCAAAGTGACTTCTTAGCATCCATCAATCCCAGCTTGCACTGTTCTGACAAATACCTTTTACCCTTCCAACACCCACACGTAGGCAAGTACCGTGAATTCCACCGTCTGTATGGGGAGAAGCGGTTCTCTGAAGCTGCCAGGCTGCTTTTGATGCTGATGACTGCTCACATTGCCCCTTGCTCCTTCTGGATGACCCTCCTGACAGATGCCCTTCCCCTGCTGGAGCAGAAAGAGGTGAGGATGCTGGTCGAGCACAACAAAGACACCCCACATCCTTTCTTTTATTTCTGAGAAGTTATCTCAAAGCAGTCGTGCTCCACACTTGATGTCCCCAGGCTAGGACTGTTCATAGCAGTTCAAGAATTGCACAGTACTCCTACTGTCTTATTGAGGGCAGGGGGATGACAAATAACTTCGAATAAGACAGTCACTGCTTTTAGAAAGCAGCAGTGGGATAACAGAATAAACTTGCTAATGGTTTAAGTACAAAGCTGTCCAATTCTTTCTGGTACTTTATTTTAGCATGCTTTCTTCTGCTCAGCCACATTTTTGCTTTATGATTCATCAAGAAAATGAAAGTTTATTTACTAGAGACCTGTGACTGGATAAAGCAGAGGCATGCACTCTGACCTCATAGCTCATCCTTCGCACAAGAGGTTATAGATCTTCTTCAGAGTCACTCAGAGGTCTTTTCCAACCATAACAATTCTAAGAGAATCTAATTCAACTGTCTGCCTACTACCAGTGTTCCTTAGCACCACATCTACATGTTTCTTGAATGCCTGCAGGGATGGTGACTCCACCACCTTCTTGTCAGCTGGTCCCAGTGCTGGACCACTCTTCTGGAGAAGTTTTTTCTAATATCCAACCTGAACCTCCACTGGCACAACTTGAGACCATTTCCTCTTGCCCTACCACTCTTAGCTGAGGCAAGAGGCTGACCCACACCTCACCACAACCTCCTTTCAAGTAGGTGTAGAGACTGAGAAGGTCCCCACCTCCCTTCACCAGACTGACCATCCCTGTTCTCTCTGCTGCTCTTCACATACAGCTGAGTACTGACCAATACCCCCAGGTCTGTTTCCTCTGTATGGTCTTCCAGCTACTCTACACAGAGCCTATAGCATTGCCTGGGGTTGTTATGGCCAAAGCGCAGGACTCAGCACAAGATCTTGTTGAACCTTCATCCCACTGGCCTCAGGATAGCAATCAGCCTGTCCAGGTCCTGCTGTAGGACTTTGTACCCTCGGGCAGATTGACATTTCCTTCCACCTTGGTGTTAGCTGCAGACTTACTGAATGTGCACTCAATCCCCTCATCCGGTCAATAAAGATATTAAACAGGATGGGCCCTGTAACATGATGGAAAGCACAGCAATGATTGCAGAGTAATAAGTAAGGACTTTCTTGAACGCAGCAGCTGTGGACACAGAAACAAAGGAAAGAATTTACTTACCTTCAGAAGACCTCAGGTACATAGGGATCTCCAGAGAGATACTCTCGCTTCCTCTGCCAGCCCTTAAATGAGGGCTGGATCCTGGCTCCACCACTTTATCACTCAGCAATATTGCATGCAGCTGAGCTCCCATGGGTTGGCCCTGCCTTCCTACCAGATGCTCCATCACTGCTTCATGTTGTGATATAGCATTTCTGCTACAAGCCGTAATTCTGACCCTTTCTACCATGAATTGTCCTGTGATCCTGTGAATGAAAGGTCAGAATCAATCTGTGGGCATATGAATGCATTCTCTTTCATCTCAATTGAGTGTTCTTAGACTGCACGATGTCCTTCATCGCAGTTATTTTAATGAAAATACTTTAATTTCCACAGGTCATATTTTCAGCAGAGCAGACTAACGAATTAATGCGATGCCTGGAAGATCTAACAGCAGGGAAGCTGGATAGGCAGAAGTTTCAGGTACCTCCCATTTTGAGGACAAATGGATAATGAATCAATGGGGTTGTGGGATAGTCAAGGAAAGCACTAAACTTGTTTGTAGGTGGGGACAGAAACAAGGAACAGCCTGAGTTCCTGAGGCTGGCACTTCATTAAGAGCCAGCAAACTGAGGCGTCAGCAGAAGATAATTAAGCATACACAAAAATAGTGCAGTACTTCCATTCCTGAGTGTTCTGTTGATTTGGATTGAACTACAGGGTTTTTTCCAAATTTCTAAATAATTGGAAATTACACGGGCAACGGAAAGCTGAGATGCTGTCATCTAACAGCTCAGGCTAGTAGATATTCTAGGCACAAAACAGGGAGACTTTTGCTACACATGCAGAAGTCTGGCAGAAAGAGAAAAGGTTTGGTAGTTCTGTCTTTAGACAATTTAAAAATTAAGAAATGTGGCTTTTACCCATTCTGTGGAGACTCCAATGACAGGTAAACATGTATTCTCACTCTTAATGACCTGCGTATTTGTTTTTCAAAACCCAGGAGAAACAGCTCGTTATTGCATGCACTGATCTAACCCAAACTCTGCTTTTAGGATGATGATGTTGAGACCATGAAAGTGGAAATGCTGAGACTTGCTCTTGCGCGAAATCTTGCACGAGTCATTGTCAAAGAAGGCACATTAGAAGGATCTTGTAGACAGTAATGTGTGATTTTACTCTGTGTGGCTTATTGTACATAAACATGACTGGTTTTCTAAGAATAAAGGTCTTGTTTTGCATATTGTTTGGTGATGTGATCTTGTCTTTCATAAAAAAGAACTTTAAAAATTGTGCAGCTGATTCCTAGGGTTGCTTGATCCAACTTGGTCTGGCTATCTTCCCCTTCTGACAGGCCTCCCTCCACCTGTGTTTTCAGTTGCTGTGCCACTAATTATCCAGAACTGAAACCAAACCTATCTTTTAAGCCACTGGCATTTTTAACCAAAAAGGCAGAAGTTGCTGTTTTCTAGTTTGGATAGGCTTCAGATGATGGACTGAGCCTTAGTGTTTCCAGAACCAGCTCTACACTCCATGATCAACCATCAGTAAGGGCTGTCCCCACAGAAAAGTAGGGAAACCAATTTATTTAACATGCAGCAAAACAAATGTATTTAGATGTATTTACAGTAATGGCTGTTTGGTGTGAAGCAGGAACCTCAACCTACTAACAAGGAACTCTCATTCATAGCTTAATTTCCAAAGCTTGTAACAATGCATTTTCCATGCAGCAAGACTATGGCATCTTTGCATTTGGCTTTACAGCACAGCAGTGCACTGCCAGTAACAGTGAGAACAACGCTGTTCTGCAGAAAGCACCTGTGCTCTTCTGACTTCCTCAGAGTCACAGTGAGATTCACGTACAGGCATCTAAAGCAGTGAAGTCTGCTTCCTCAGGGTATGCTTACAGCACCTGGGCAGACTTAAGTAACCTAAATACCATCCCTATGCCTACCGTGCCTGAAGTGGCAAGAACATTTCTGAGGCAGAAAGAATTCTTTCCTTGTTCTCCATCACAGTCCATCAGTTTAAAATTGCTGCTTTCTGTAGGAATCTAAAAGAGGCAACTCCCTTTTGCCTGCCCTCCTTGTCAGGGAGCTGACAAGGATGTGTCCTCATGAGCTTCAGAGCAGCATACAGCAAGGTCCTTGGCCAAAGCTTTGGATTCCTCCCCCTCAGAGTTTCCACAATTGCCTGATACCTTTGATCCTTCAGGCCTTTAAATCCACAGTTTCTCCATCTCTAGTATTTATTTCTCATCACAGAAAAGACAACATAACTAACTCCAAGCAGTATTTGAGTTCTGGTTTTAGAGCCTGTATTAATTCCAGCAGCACTTTGACCAAGGGTCCATCCTAGCTGTGCTTTTGTCAGCGGTTGTTAAAAACAAACACTAAAACAGTGTCTCAAAGCTATTTGAGGCACTGCTTGAGATTGAACTTTGAGAGAAGGAAGGGGCTTCTGCAATCAACTTTCAGTCACTTAAACCTAGTTTCTAGTCAATTCCTCTACCACCTGCTAGCACTGAGTTCTGATGTCCAGTAAAACTCTCCCTCTTCAAGAGATGATTGCACTAAGCCACTTAGTATAGAGAACTATTAAAACAGGGCATATGCATCGCCACAGCAGTCTTCTTTCCATTCCCCGCTTGTTTCTGTTCAGCTATCCAACAGCTCTATTATTTCCACATTGTATTTCACAGTAATCTTAGTACTGAACTACATAACACTGCCTGCAGGAGAGGACCTGAGAGGCACTCTCCCCATCCTTGGGTTAGTGGCTGTAAAGACACTTCTGCATGCCAGCTGCTGCCCTCCATTAATGCTGAAAACAACTTTCCAGCTCCATTGCTTGGCTTTACCACCTCATCACACTTTTTTTCCCCACACTACGGAATGCGATGAATGCAAAAAAATAACCAGTTCAGCCATTTGCATACAAAACAGTCCGAGCTGCCCCAAACGGATACAACAAGGAGGCAGCCCACATATAAATATATTAACTGAAGATACAGCGGTGTCACACCACACAAGAGCTGGGGTCTGCTTACACTGGCCACTGGAAATGCAGCAGATGGAGGGAGCAAAGTGCCACTTCAGTGTTTAAAAAATAAAATAAAATAAAATAAAAAAAGCATTCCCTCATGGAGCCAGCATTATTGCTTAACATGCTTAGCAGGTCCAGTCTGGCACTGAGGAGGTAAGAGTCCAAGGGAGGACACATGTAAGGGCTCTGCACTGAGGAAGCTCAGGGTAGCATCATTACCAGCATGTATGTAGCTCTGGACAGCAGTACAGGAACACGCTAACTTAAGTCTCCTGTTGACAGGTCTCCCCTCAAAAAACAGTAACTTCAAGTTTAATAGAGTGGAATACAGAACCATTCACCTGGAGGTCAAGATAAAAGCAACCAGCACTACGTGTCACCAGCTGCCTTCAGTTCATACTTGGCATAGATGTCCCAGGACCCCTTCAACATGGTGTGCAACGTTCTGGACTAAAGCTACAAGCAGAGTGGGCAGGACATGTAAACAAAGCTTAACATCACCAGTGAATAGCATGTGCGTCCCTCCCCCGCCACATTCATTTCAGTCCTGTGGGATCCTTTCTGGGTCCTGTCACAGTCTCTGGTTCAAGTCCAAGGTTCCAAGGTCATAAATTCCCCCACAGCTCCACTGGAGGGAACTGATCCACTTCACCAACCTCTGTGGCAAGCTGGTCTCCCAGTGTGAAGGTCAGTCTGTATCTTAGCCTCACTTTCTCCTGCAAAAAAGACAAAACCCAAGAGCAACACATGAGAATAGCCCCAATTGTTCAGGAACAAAAAATTTCACTACAGCTCTACAGAAATCACAACACTGTGATGCTGCAGAGGGTCAAGGTAACCTGAGTTATTTACCTTACATATTTAAAAATATAAAAGCTTTATTGCTTAGCATGAAACAGTAGGAAAAAAGCACGAGTGATCAGCAGTAATAGTTTGCTATACATGCAGCTAGCACCCATTGCTCAGCTGCTCTTCAAAGACCCTGAAGAATGATGCTGGAATAGATCAGCATTTTCAAAACTGAACTATGCATCACATGCAGGAAGACAAAGAAGGTTCTGCTCTGTAAAATTCCCAGTAAGCAGCAGATGGAACCCATCTTTCAATGAGGGGTCTCCATGTGCTTCAAAAAGTGAAAGTTTCAACAACCTGCAAACACCTCTTTAAATATCATAAATTTCAGCTGATACCTTAATGCCATTTTTGCTGTAATTCTCAACCACTTCAGCATACAACTTTGAGGTTTACACATCATCTGGGCTATCTAAATGACTAATTGCAGGAAGGGTTTCCACAGCTATTCACACACTCCTAGCATGATGAGCAGAAAGCGAAGTATTAACCACATTGTTTCACTGGTCACAGGCACATCTCATAACATGCCAAAGGGAAGGGACAGGACCTGATACCACACAGTTTCTTCAAGTCTGTCAGGCTGTATAGAGCCTCAACACAGCAGAACTCTTTCTAGAGAAACAGTTAATTTTATATCACGCTAAGCATCATCACAGCAGGGCACATCCAGTGCACAAGGGATTTAAGATAAGCTCCTGAAGCAACTCTGATTGTTCTCCTTTCAAGCTAAGCCCTATAAGACTTTTGCTCCTTTGATAAGAAAAAAATGTACAGTGTTTTTTCTCACACTTTTCCTTCCTGAAAAAGTCTGTTGGGGAAGAGATTGTGTATAGCCCTTCTCAAGCCCTGAATTGAAACAGCACTGATCTGCTGCTGTAGTAATTGCTTCTGAAGGGCAAGCTAGGAATTAAGAGCAGTGCTTGCTCATAGTTTCGGTCCAAACTCCCCGAAGAATTCATCTTACATCGTATTAACCTGAAAACTGACAAGATAAATGCCCGCTCTGTTATAGTCCATCCTTCTCACCTTTGTAGGATTTGCCAAAAGCATGATTTGGGTGATGGCAGCAGGCGGCTGGATGGGATTGAATGGAGACAGCTCTGTGCCAGAGGGTGGCTGCAACTTCACTTTCATGGACTGCAAACAAACAAACAAAAAAAATGGAGTATCTCCTACCTTTGGAGACAATGGAAGATGTATGCAGAGACTGTGGAGACAACAGCAGACATCCAAGGTGAAGAGAATCAATCAGTGTGTGAGAAGGAGGAGGCAAGAGCCAGTCCACTTGCAGAACACAATAGGACCAGGCAGACCAACAAGTCAGAGTAAAAGCACTGGGGTCAAAACACCAACTGCACCCCTTCTTACCTGAGTGCACTTACAGCAGAGGTTTTAACGCAAACAACTTGATGACAATGGGCAGATTATAGCCATTTGGGCCACACTTTTCAAAACACAAATCAGCCATCCAAAATTATGTAGCTGCAGTAGTGATAAGAATGGAACTTACTCTTCAATTTAAGAAGTCTTCATGAAATTCTGATTCCCAAACACCTTAAGGATGGGCTTATCCACATAACAGTCCTGTCAATGCGCTATCTGAGCTATGACATGATCAAATACAGTTGGATTGATTTTAGATAGAAAAAACAACAGAATGTGTACTACTCGCAGTTCTTGACATGTCCTGTTTAGTGTTTTCTGCTTTTAACTACTTCTATGTTTTGGAAACAGGCAGAGCACAGACTACAGAAAGACAGAACTAGTGTGTTGCAACTTAAGTTCCCTGAGTTCATACCCATACCTCCCTGAACATGCAGATTCATACTGCTGTGGGTCTGAACTGTGCACCCCTACCTTAGGTACAGCAGCCTGCAGCACAATGTTCTTCACAGGAAGGGGTGCTGTGTTCAGCATTGAGACTACCACAACCAGCACATCTGACCTTCCTGGTGGGCACTCCTTGGCAAAGTGCAAGAGGATGCGGAAGCCATTCTTGTCATAGGCTGTCACCGGGAGGGCACTGCCTGCCACAGAGCAAGGGGATAGGAAAACAGTTTATGCTGCAGAAAACAATCGTCAGCAGTACTGTCAATCTGACATTTGGCTGGGTGTCTTACCATTGTTCTTCACTTTATAAACTCAGTCAGGAAGCTTTGCTTTTAAAAAATGTTCAGCGAATGGTGAAAAACCTGAAGGTACTTACTAGGTTTAATAGATTCCAAGGGAACGTGGATGTTGGCCAAAGAAATTTCAGGTGCTTTCATAGGACTGTCTTGCTGCTGGAATGATGCTGGATGGAAGAGAGAGCTCCCTGAGACAGCAGTGCAGCTGTTTGGGAAAGGAATTGGGGGTGTTCCTGGAGCAGTGACTGGCAGCCCAGCAGGTGCCATTAACGCAGAAGACGTGACAGAGGCTGGCAAAGTAACCCCAGGTAACACTGAGGGTGTTGCCATGCCTTGCGTGGCAGTCCTGGAAGACAGAAAAATCATGGAAAAATTAAGCTGAAATTGAAGCAGGCATTTTAGCACAAACCCAGAGATAAGAGCAAATCACAAGGACAAAGCAGGAGCCTGGAGCCAGCAAGGTCTAATGTAAGAAGCAGAGCTACAAGAAAAATATGGTTTTGGTAGGATTATGCATAGCTCTTTCTAATTTAGTACAAAAGCACGAGTCCCACCTTGGCAAAGAGGAGCTAGGCTAAGATGGCCAAAGGCCTTTGTACTATAGCAGCCAGTTTAACTTTACACTGCACACTTAAAATCTGACAACAGCACAGCTGTCGTACTCTATTGGTAGTTTCTGCCTTTCACTGCTGACGCTGAGACTGTCATACTAGTTCGTACAAGTCCCAGTCACGCATTTCTACCAAACTGAAGTTGAATGTCTATCTCTGAAGCTGACACTACAGAAACTTGGTTTCCTAAATGCTGAGACAAAGCAAAGTCCAGAACTTTTAGTTACCCTTTGGATTCTTCAAGGAGTTGTCCCAATGCAGATGAGCTTAAGTACCCAGGAGCAGCTGGAATTGTCTTGGAAGGCCCCACAGGGGCAGCCAGCCCAGCAGAGAACACAAATGGTATGGAGTTTGGTGCAGGCATGCTGGGAGCAGTCTGAGAGGCTGTGAAAGCAGAAGGCAGTGTCACTGATGTTCCACATGTGGTCTGCAATGTGTGATGGAGAAGATGGTTCCCTGTAGGGTTGCAATCAACAGTCACCGTCTTTGGATTGAAGAAATCCAGGTCCAGCTGCTCATTCTGCAAGAGAGCATAAGTACATGCTCTAACTCACTGCTACCACTACTGCAGAGGTGGCATTGTTACAGAGGGAGAGAGATTTACCGCAAAAATAGGTGGAAGGTAGCAAGCAGCAAAGTCTGTGGCCTATGTCAGGACTACATCTGATCTGTAATTTAAGCAAAGGAAGTGCTAACACCATGGGGGACAGACTGGAAACTGAGAAAGCCATGTTCAGGTATATCTACTCCACTCAGACACAGCTAACCCAGATCTTGGGGTTAAGCCAGACTTCCCCTCAGTAACAGCTACCCCTCTGCTTGCATGTGATGTTTCTCTAAGGTGACAAAATGTGTCACGAGACCTCCCACAATGGCAAGCCCTCCCTTCCTTCCCCTGAGAAACTCTCTCCTTGCTACCTCAAACATGCTCCACTGGTTTTTTTCTGATGCCTCCTTCCCTGCTGCAGGAGCTGGGTCATTCAAGCCTGAAAGGAAAATAACAAGTAGGTAATGAGTAGAAAATGAGGCTGCATACCATGGCAGTTGTTTCAGTGCCAAACAAATTGATTCAGCTCCACCACAGCCCAAAAGCCTGATGAAAGATCAAAATGGATTGCAAGTCTACGCTGATGAAGAGACCAACAGAACCAGTTGCCAATCCCCTGCATGCAGCTCCTCTAATCCATCCTGATTTACAGCATCTCCTGCTATTCGTATCTGGGCTTCACTTGCAGGCATTCTGCAGCCTCCTTCCAACAATCCCCCTAAGGCACCTTTCTCTTTATACAGCCACAAAGTCAGCAGTGAAATCACAATGTATTTTCATTTGAAGCCTACTCTTCAAATGAATTCATCAGAATTAAATACTAACTCACAGACTAGTTCTTACATTCAGGATGACTTGAGTGTCTCAGAAATCCTCCGGACTTCTTAAGAAATAATAGACCTGAAAACATGCAAGACTGACCAGAATCACAGCAAGGAAATGTATCCCAATATAAATGTTTTGGGAATGGCACAAATTACTGTTCCCATGTGCACCACCTGAATCACCAAATTCTCTCAACCCTTCCTCTCAAACTCCACCAGAAGTGAGACCTAGGGCTCACTAAGTAACCTACTGGATGAATCAAGAGCAAAAGAAATCTGGTGCGGTCAAAATATAAGGCATTTCATGCTCTCTTTAGCCAACCCTCAGACTCACGCTGGAGGAAAGAAGTTGACTTTGTCAGGCAGGGATTGAATAGCCCTTTTCTAGGCCTCTTAGTGTCTTACCTAAACACAGAAGCTCCTCATCCAGCAAGGAAAGAGAATTAGCTGTGCTGCTCTGCTGAGTGGGTGCAGCTTCCACTTGGCTCAAGGAACTGCTCCGCAATTGTGAAAATGTCTGTGGAGGAGGTGGGAGAACAGGGATTTCTGCTGGAACTGGGGCTGCTGTGGGGGCTGGTGTCAGGGTGGTGGGTGCCACTGGAGGTGTTGAGGTGCTGGTGACATCCAGTCCAGCAAGGTCAATGAGGGTGTTCTTACTCCCTGTAGCAAACAGCAGATAAGCACAACTAGGAGGGAAGGCAAAATGCTTAGAGAAAGAACATGTACAGAAGACACGATCAGAGAGATGGTTTAGGTAACACGGATATGCACTTAATCGTGGTTTATGGCTTTACAGAGGAGAAAGCCCACAGGGTGCATATCTAACCATTTACTTAAACCAACCCAGATGCTTAGGAAATTTCCATCTGAAAAGCAACACCTATCTGCTCCAGTCGCTGCTTTTTCCCCAGCGTTTCTTGCAGCATCATTCATGATCCTCTCAAAATCTTCTGAGCTCACAGAAGACTTTGGGAGGTCCTACAGAATTACAGTAAATCAAGGCTACCAGAAAGACAGAATCGAGGGTAACATATACAGCCTGGATCTAGAATTCTCTCCGTATTTTGGAGCAGACTTGTCCCAGGAAGATACTAGACAGCAGTATGCATTTCCTTTACTGCTCTTTATACAGAAAGTGACTCCCAACCGACAACAAAGCATCCAGGGATTTCAAAGGCAAAACCGAAATGTAAAGTAGGCAACTGGCCTAAATTCATAAAAGGTACTGCTGGCAAAGCCAGGACAGGACCCCCACCTGGCCCTCACTCTTCTGCTCTCATCTTTTACATAAAGTTGTGTTCTTCTTTTATTGCCAATCAAGAGATAAGACAAAAGTGGAGACACAAATGTATGAGAACTTTCAGGCACAAAAACTATTCAGATAAAGGTTTGCTACCAATGTTATCAAAGAATTTGATTACAAGCAATGGAGAACGCAGCATTGTTGTTCACGTCAGAACTGTCGTCCCCTTTCCTGTTCAGAAACTGTTGGCCAGAAGAACCATCAAGCCTACTTTACCAGAATTCATAAGGAAATCCAGTCTAAAATACTTAAAATTTTAGGATTAGAAATTAAATATTTGGCTTCCCAGGAACTCACCTTCCACTCCTGAGATCACTTGGAGATCCACTTCACCATTGATCACTTGCCCCTCTATTGTTTTTTTATAGGAATTTATCACACGTGATAAGTTGTCACTGGCCTGCAGAATATCTCCTACGTGAAAGACAGATAAACACAACCATCAAGACTTTGGTCACTTTGCTCCCACTACCGCTGAGAATAATCAGTTATCAGCTAAATAATTAGCAAGAAAAAACACAATTGTTTAGCTACAAATTCTGTTATTGTCTGTTCTGTACCATGCTTCTCTAAGCAAGACCCTGACCTTTCTAGGTCTGTACACATTACGTACGCAGTAACAGTGAAAATGACTCCAAGGTTTTGTTACCAACATAACTCTCTTCCCCTTCCAGAACAGCAGCCATCCCATATTACCATCCTTCCCCAGCCTCCCACCAATTCTGTCAAGCCCTTGCCCTTTATCTGCTTGCTCAAAGCAAAGCTCATCCACAGTGAAGAGGCATCTTTAGAGCAGCCGTTCTCTTGCTCAACCCTTGAACAGTCATAGGGTCAGCAGTTAAACAGCAGTTCAAGGAGAAGTGTAGCTTATTTTACCCAAGCTGCTGTCATTATCCTCCGTCTCACTGGCTAGTTTGAATAATGTCCGTCTTTTGGTTTCACACCTTTCACAGAGTTCCTGAGAAGAGAAATCATGACAAAGGGTCTCATCAACCAGGAGGCACTGTCAGCAATACCAGTCAGCACAGAACGACTTCCCCAGCATTCTCTGGAAAGGCCAGAACAGAGAAACCAGCCTCCCTGTGCTGGACATCCCAGTTGTTTTAATTTTCATCTTCTTGGTGTTCTCCCAATCTTGTAATGCTAGCTACAGGAAAAGACAAATTTTCTGCCATGTTCCACCTACCCACAGCGCTGTGAGGGACAGTTGTTATCAGCAGTGTGCTATAATAGGAGCAAGAATCAGAAATTCCAGCTTCTTGATTCTGCTACACTGCATCTTTGGAGAACAGCTGTACCCGACTTCATCCACATGCAAGAGAGCTATTATCCACCATCCTTGCAAAGCACCAAGTCCTTTGGTGAAAAGTCTTTAAAAACATGGTCATTACAAAGTCGTTTCCAACAAGAGCTCTTGTTCCTTGCTACCGCTCTCCATTTTATAGCGCTGTTCGTAATTCTTTGAAAAATTCAAAATCTGAAAAAGAACAAAGAACTGACTGCAGTATTTCTGGGAAGCAGCAGCTCAGACCCACCTTCATGAGCTCTCTATCAGCCTCTGATGAGTCCTCTTTGCTATAATGAACCAACATCTCGTTCAGCAGTTTCACATTGTTATTTACTTCCTCCAACGTGTGCATACGTTTTGTCACTTTCTGAATCCGAGCCTCATCCTTCAGGATGCAAAGAGACACGAAAAGTAAGCTTTCCTGTAAGGTTCACAGTACAACAGTAGGTGTTATCTGTAGATCATATCAGGTAATGTCTGTTCAAGGTTGAACTAAAAAGCCCCAAACAAAAGAAACCAGAACAAAATAATTGAATTATTAGAAGAGTCTACCCTACCCTAGAGACAGGGGAAGCTTGAACGGAAACATTTCAGTAATCTATACATCCTCTTCAGTCAAGAAGCTATACTTTTTTGGGGGGGGGAGTGGAGGGATTGCGGGGTGGAGAGGGGCAGAATCACAGCGAGTCATTTCCTGGACTCCATGTTTGTAATGATTGCCCTGTGTGGATGCATCACAGCTCTGCAAACAGGAATTTGTTTCCATGAGGCCCAGAGATGACTCAGTCCTCATCAACCAGAAGTAGTACAGTGGTGTTTCCACCAAATTCTCACGTGAAAAGCCATCTAAAGTGACAAGAAATAAATTAATTTCAACATTGCATTCAATTCTGGCACCTTTTTGCCCTGTCCCATCAGGTGCACCAACTGCAGACTTTTCTGTTTTACAAACACCAGGCAGCAGTGAGCTAAGGGCAAAATTACCTAAGCATTTGTTTCACACAGTGCTGTTAAACACTGTAAAACATCAGATGGCACCCTTTTACGCCACTAATGACCTGGACTACCTGCAAGTTAGTAGTCTTAGAGCTTTTAAGAAAACAATAGGAGGTTGGATGTCGCTAATCGCCAGTCTCATTCAGTTATCTATGGAATGGACACAATGCTTCTGAAACCCGAGAAAACAAATATCTGCCACTCACACAATGCTGAAGCTCTCCAACAATTTCGAATAACGTTTTAAGAATTGCAAAGAACACCGCTAACCGGGTTCAATTCTACAGGACTTTCTTACCTCTTTTACCATGGATTTAATAAGCTTGTTGGCCTCTTGTAAATCGTCCGGATTTTTGCTTTTCAGTAGTTTGGCTAGAAGCTGTAAGATAAGAAGGGGACATGTGGGAAACAAATACTGGCAAAGGGAAGATGCAAGAAGAAATTAAGGGAACAATTCACAGTAAAGATACACAGTTCACACTGCCTTCACAGTCAGTGACTTCAGCAGGAGTCACATAAGGGTTTGCTGTTTTACACAAGTTGCTACATTCTTCCTTTTGAAGAGGACATACATGCTGCCACATCTCAAGAGACTTGACATTAGACAATTATTTCTCCTATACATGATTTTTGGCCCTGTTTGTGAAACATTCTTTGCCTGCTAGCATTACAGCAGGATGGCACTTTAACAACAAATTACTACATAACTGTGACAGGTCTTAGCATGGATAGACAAAGCAGATGTGTTCAAACCAATGAATTCTTTGAAAGTACAGAACACGTCCCCCAAAATAAAAGCTGAATTAATGTACTTTTCTTCCTTATTCTAAACATACATTAAGTAATTACTTTTTGCTAGTGGTCACAACACAAGTCTTCCCTATACCTTGGATTTCTCTTCATCATCAAACACAGGGTTTTTGGGACGAGGTGGTGGAGAAGGAATCAGGATTTTGTCCACAGGAATCACAGGATCAAACATTACAATCCCTGAAAGCAAAGAGGAACCCACAATGATTTGCACTGCAGTCAGGCCAGGCAGTGCACCCTTTTATTCACGGGCTGCTGTCAAAGTGAGCAAGCAGCCAAACTGCCCACATTGATGCTACCGCACAACTCCAACACACAACACAGCATCAAAAATCAGTGAGCACACTAGCTAGAAAAAAACAAAGAACATTTTCTTTGATAAAGGCCAAAACCCCAGCAACTGTTTTGCCATCTTCATACTGTTCTAAGCCAGTATAACCAATAGTTCTCTGCTATTCGTCTTTTCCTCTTTCACATCAGCTGCTGAGCCACTCTGCAAAGTCCCAGACAACCTAGCTTTGTACAGACTCGAGGGCACTACATTTTTTTCTATAATTGAGCTGTGCTGAGCAGGAACACAGACAGCATTGCAAGCTGGGGTGATAAGCAGACTCCTAACCATTAGAACCATGAGTGGTAGAAGAGCCAAGCTTTCTGCTTGTCCCCTTGCCAACACTGAGATTTGTGCTCTACTCCCAGAAGTTTCCCTAGAACAATTTTATCTGTTTTTTGATGCCACGTGTTCCTCAATTAAGCTTCTTCCACTTTGCCTACACAATAAATTTCTATTGGATTAAAGGCACGATTGTAAAGCAATATGGTTAAAAGAACACAAAAAGCTACAGAAATGATCTCATTTCTCTTCAAACTGGCCTTAAATCATTTAAAGAGCAGTTCCAGGACAGAGGTGGGAGGAAAAGCATGGAGACCCCTACGAATCCAAACAAAAGCATCTGCAAGGTGTTTCACTAACCTAGGTGAAAATTAAATAAAAATAAAAGGCCATTCCCCAAAGTCAGTGAGTAGCTTTCTCAGTGTTTCAGGGAATTCTTCCCTTGTTCCACGTCCCCTCTGTCTGCTCATATCATCAGAATTTTTTATGTACTGTGCCACTCCTGCATACAGGCACAGGCTAGAAAGAATGCATGAATGAGCAGCTGATCTCCTACCTTGTCGCTTCAGCATGTAGTAGGCATCTTTGATTTTATATTCTTCTGGTAGTGCCACTGTCCAGCTATATAGTAATTCAATGACTTTCGTCTTCACTTTCTCTGAGATCCGATCTCCTAGATACTAAGAGTGAGAAAAAGATGAAGACACTCCACATTCTTAGTTTCTTTTTAAGGAGAAAGCCCAAACACAGACAGCAGGGGGAGTTCAGTGATACACACTGAAGTACGCAAACCAAAGATCTAAGACACCGTATTGGGATGAAAAAATGTTTCTCTAATTTTTCTGAAGTAACAGTGAACAAAGTCTTTGTGATTTGTGATCTTCATAAAAGAAAGAACAGATATTGTTAGTTTCAAAATTTTGCTATTTAAAAATTTTCAAATGCAGATACTGCACCTTCCCCACTGTCTTCATTGGGAAAGAATTTTGCAATACTTCACTGCATTAACTATGCCTTGGGGTGTCTCCATCTATCTTTTGCCACTTTAAACCAATCGTGGATACTGAAGGATTGCCTTGGAACTCTGCATGACAAACTGTCAGCAAAGTGAGATTACAACTCTGAGGTTGATGCCAAATCTCATGCTCTAACTCCTGCATCACTGATGTTGGGGTGATCCCTCCCTGTCCTAGAAATATAAAATTAAACAAAGAAAACAAGGAAAAATCACCAAGCAGTTGACTGCTCAATGCTTCATATAACACAAGGACCTTCATAACAGTACAAGAGTTATACATTAATAGTAAATAAGCACAGATTACTGAGAAAAGCAATAAGAAGAGCACACAAAAAAATTAGCAAACAAATCCTCGTTGAATATACACTAGTGAATGCAATGAGGCAGATAGAAACATTCTGGAGGTTGCCTGTTGCTCATGAAGGCCAGACAACAACTAAACACAGCAGCAAGGCACAGGGACTAACCTTTGGAGACACAACTTTTATTAATTCATTCAAAAAGCGAAACTTTCCTACTTCATTATGAAATCTTCTCCCACAATTTTTCATACAGGCTTCCAGCACCTGCATTCAAGAACAGAAACAAGAGCTGAAGCAAACACAAAAACTCTACAGTAACAGCACACGTGTTCTGCTTATAGGGGAACTGAAGGACCCCATCAGTGGCCTACAGGCATGGACCCCCAATCTTTAGGTGACACACCAAGGGCTGCAGCAACTCTCCCACTCCCAGCAACGTATTTATGAGTCAATTACCTCCCTATTAGAGTTCACAACAAGAGACACAAGTCTTACCTGAGAATAACAAAAGAAAGCAGCTGAAACATACAAAGTCTTGTCTGTCGCTACTGACTAATATGGACACTTCAGTTTGGCAAGCATGCTCCCTGCCAGCAGAGAAGGGAATCCAGCCCCAGAATTAGCCTCAGATGGCATCACTAACACACACTGTGCTCCTTTCATACTCTCTATGGAAGACGCCAAATGATGTGTAACTGGACTGGAGAGAGGTGGCAAGGAATACCTACTGTCAAGGCTTGGACTGCCTCCCATTCCTGCGGCGACTGGATCTTATGAGCCAGGAGTCTTACAGCTATCTGCGGCCTGAAACAAGGCAAGTGCTCATTACAAACAAAGCAGGCAAACACAGCAAGGGATTTTCAGGCTTTCACAAATACTGCTGTTTAAATGCGAGTCTTTTCATATGATTAAAATAAATGTCACCCAGTACTTTTAGGCTAACAAAAAAATCTTCAGGGCATCTCTGTAAGCCTGGTTGTTTGCATGCATAAAAGGAAGTAGGACTGGTAGTCCGAATTCCAGATTGATTCCTCCATGGGATGGGCCAAACAACACCCAAGTAGTGTCCAAACCCAGGAAACCACATAATTACTCAATGCATTAATTTCCTTTTTCCTGAAGAAAACATCTTCCTTAGCTCACAGGAATGCTGTGACCCAGGTTTCCTCAGTTAAGTCCTGTACAGATTTCAATGATGTGAAGCACTAGGAGTCATAACCCCATTTTACAGACTGCAAACTAGGAACGAGTTTGGCTGGATGAGAACCCTGTAGCAGCAGAAGTTGACAAAAGGCAGATTTGGGATTCGCTTTTCCTAGTGCTCAGTTTGCACATAAACCACGCTGCCCTTCACATAAGAAAATGCAAACTTTGCAGCACGTTTTTTTCTTTTGACTCCAATCTCCTTTGCAATATCAGTATATATAGGAAGGCCAATATGAAACTCCGATGATCAAATGACATGTTCTAAATTGCATATGTTTAATTACTAAGTCTAAAGAGGACGCACACTCACCCTTCAAGCTCTTTGTTGATCTGGTCACAGAATCCAATGATATATTCCCAGTCTTCTTGCCTGTTAGATGGGTTTGTCGCTTTATCTTTGGCAAGGGAAAGAGAAGATGTTACAGCTCAAGAAAAAAGAAACAGCGTAAAAGGTCATGCACTTTCTAGAGAAAAGCCTTTGACATCTGTTACCAACTATAAAATGAAGACTGAAAGTTCACATACGCTACTTCCATTCAGGAGAAACGACACATCCAAACTGAGGCACCCAAACAACCATCAAAAATCAGATTTCCAAAAAGACAGATCCCAAACATGAAATACTTTGAAACACACAATTTCCGTATTGTGAATGAGAGTACAAAAGAAAATATTTGTGCTCATAAAACTTCCCTCTGCCCAAAATGTTATTTGGTTATAACATTAAACTCTTTAGAGGCTAAACTCTTAGATTTTTTTATATGGGAAATTGTTTCTGTATTTCCTGGGAGCTTTGTAGCAGCAAGAGCTGGCAGATCAGATGTTTAATATCAGTCATTTAGCTCAGACACTTGTTTTAGAGCATCAGTGATCTGTTAGATGCCTCAGCATTTCTCCTGGGAACAATGAATTTAAATTTATTATTATTCACTGAGTTGTTCTTGCAGTAATGAACATCACAGCCTGCAACTGATAGGCAATTTAAACCCCGGATGCCCAGAGAGATGCTGCACTGTGAGACATGTTACTGACAGATCCTTCCTCAAACACCAGCATCCCTCATATCGCACTGGCTGCAGAAACCCGAGGCTATCAGCACATTTTTTGTTATGAAAGCATTTTCTCCATGAGTTTTACTTGGCTCTGACAGACCAATGAATTTACAGCAGACAAGACTCCCACATTAATCTGATTTTCCAGATGAGATTACCAGACACAGATTTTTCTTCCCTGTAAGAAAAACAATGCACTGGGCTACCTAGTGGCTGATGTTTAAGAAGCACTTCTCAAAATTTGAATACAATGCAAATAGATACAGAAGAGAATGCATTACTTGGCCAAATAGTATAGAGCACAGGATAAAATACAGGCAAGTGTTTGAAACACGTGACACTTAAACCTTATTACTACACTCATAGCTGCAGAGCGCTCTGCAAGCATCAGGAATACAGAGCCTCGCAACAAGTTGAAATATTTTCATGCAAATCAAATAGCATTGTGTTCTAAAGTGGTTCTGCTGCTCTGCAGGCCGAGATGAAAGAAGCATGGCTCTTGGTTGGGTCAATGTCTTTCTTGTAGCGAGGTGTCCAAAACTGAGCGCAGTACTCGAGATGTGGCCTCTTCAGTGCTGAGAGCATCCCAGGCAAGCCAGTTTTCTTTGTTTACCCTTTTCAGCATGTCCACACATGAAGATGCGTTACATTAATGAAAAGATAATCTAAAATCCTCTATTTTTAGTGGAAAACTTAAAACCTAGGCCCATGGCAATACAAGAAGAAAAAAAGAAAAAGAAATAAAGAAAATTGGAATATGTTATCCATCTGCATCTATTATATACCTGCATTGCCTGACAGGAATGTGATACAGTAAGTTTCTTTTAGGAAGAAGCAGAACAGGCAGCACTCAAGTCAAAGCTGGGCTCACACAACCAATGCTGTTTTCTAACATCCTCTTTTATTTCAACTAAGCACAAGGAAAGAGCCTGCAGGCAAGAACAGAACAGGAAGGATCACCTTCACTCACCCCAGCTGCCTGAAATGAGACAGAAGATGAAGATGCAAGATAATCGCAGACCAAAGCGCAGCACTAGAACACAAGGGTGATGTTACTTCATGGCTCTGTGCCTCCACCCCATGAGAAAGACAGGGCAGCTGGAAGGCTGAATAGCATTTTTACTGCATCTGGCATCTTCCTGTGAGTGGGAAGCTGCCATGCTGCCAAGCAGCTTTTGCCTTGCCTTTGTAAAAAGGGCACAGCAGGTGCACACGCCCCTCAAGTTTAGTGTGACACACAGTACATCCTACCGATAGTTACAAAAAAAATAACCTCAGAAGGCCCGGTGAGAGCACTCAAATGCGCAGCATCTGCACCCTGCCCTCCTCATCTGCATGGCTGCTTTGGTAATTTATTTACAAGTGATCTGTGCTCCCTCACTGTGGGAGGAGCTGTACGATCACACCAGAACAAATCATGGTAGCAGTGACCAGACATAAATGTTTCATCTTAGATGAGAGATCAATGCTCAAGCGTTTAACACCATGGGTTACTGAAACAGAAGCAGGCAACAGTGCTGGCAGCGAGGAATTGCTTTGCAGTGCTGCTCCTCAGCATGTTCTCCAGTGACAGAGCTTCACTGACCATGCAAGCAGGATGTTATCCTCTCTCTCAACTTCCACAACTAAAAATAAAAACAAAAAGCAGCCAAAGAGCCTTCCAGGCTGCACAATCTAAAATATCCTTCCTATTACAGATATTTCCATACACATACTGAATTTGGTGAGTCAGTTCTGCTCAGAGGAAGATTAAAGGGAAGAGATGTGGGCATTTCTTCAAGTGTCTCACTGGCTACAATTAAAAAAAGAGATATTAACAAACTGTGGGAGCTCAGAGGAGTGGAACAACGAATGGACAGAAGGGGTTGAGCTAAAACAAGAACTGAGAGCTGAAAACATCCTGTAGCCGATAACTGCTGTCAGCAACGATAACACCGTGCATTGAATTAAATCTCATATAAACGAACCAAAAAGGAACAAGAATTATTTGATCTTAACAGAACGAAGAAGCACAACAACTTTTATATTCTGAAGCATTTAGGGGAAACACATGATCATTAAGACTGGAAAAGACCATTAAAGCCCACTGTGCCTAACCACCGCCCCATCCCGCGGCAGTCGCAGCCCCGCTGCCTGCACGGCTCCCAGCCGGCGCCGTCACTGCGGGCATCGGCAAAGGACGGCGCGCCGCGTCCAGCAGCGCCAGTCCCTGCGCTGGGAACAGCTGCAACACAAACCCCGACCGACCGACCGTACGACCGACCGACCGACCGACCGACCTACGCGGGACCCCACAATGTCACAGCGCGACGTCGTTACAAAATCATTTTCCCTAACAACGGATTTTTAAATACTGCAGTCTGCAGCCTTCCAATGGGCATAACAGCTCCTCCCCCACCCCCCCCCAGCGGTGCAGGACACAGAGCGCGGCCCGGCCGCACGGAAACACGGCCGTACAGCGCAGGAGCGCAATTTACAGGGGATCCTCCGCAGCTCTGCCCGGGGATGAACCGGCCTGACAGACCCGTGCGGGGGGGAGGCGAAAGCAGGGGAAGACGGGAATCGGCCTCCGAGTAAAGGCACCAGAAGCGACGAGGATGGGGCTGAGAGGGAGAGGGTGGAGAAAAGAGGGGCTGGAGGGGCTCGAGCCCGCGCTACTCACTGAGCCACGACTCCAAGCTCTCCCCTTCCGCCTCCGCCATGATGCCGCCCCGCCCCGCCCCGCCTGCGCGAGAGCCGAGCGCGCGCTTCCCCCCGGGCCGCCGTCGTTTTGCTTCTGCGTCAGGAGGGGTTCGGTGCCGTGAGGTAACTCCGAACTTCCGGTGTTCGAATCCCGCTGCCGCCCGCAGCACCGGGAGGAAACGTCCCGCGCTGCCACGGGGTTCATGTTCTTTTTGAGCTGAATGCGGCTTTTTGGAGCGGTTTCTTTTTCTTCTCTTTCCTGCAGGCGCGGCCGGGTCGCCTCCGTCCCCGGTTCTGCGCGCACCACAAGATGGCGGCGCCCACGGCGGCGGGGCTGCGCCCGAGTCTGCGGGCATGGCTGCCTCGGTGAGTGCGGCCGAGCAGGGAGCGACGCACACTGCGGTAACATCGGTATCAGCAGTGTGAGGCGTGGGGCTGCCCGCAGGAGGGCTGCGGGGTGGGAGCTGACGGCCGGCTGAACACGGACCAGCAGGGTGCCCAGGTTGCTTCGTGGCTTGTATCAGAAGTAGCACAGCCAGCAGCAGCAGGGAGGCGATCATCCCAACGTGCTCAGCACTGACGAGGCCGCATCTCGAGTACTGCTCTCAGTTTTGGGCCCCTCACTACAAGAAAGACATTGAGGTCCTGGAGCGCATCCAGAGAAGGACCTGAGAAGGGTCTGAAACAGAAATCCTGTGGAGGGATGCTGAGGGAGCTGGGATCGTTTAGTGTGAAGAGGAAGAGGTTCAGAGGTGACCTTATCGCACTGTACAAGTGCCTGCAGGGAGGTTGTGGTGAGGTGGGATTCAGCCTCTTCTCCCGTGTAGCAGCGGTAGGACTGGAGGGAACGGCCTCACGTTGTGCCAGGTTCAGGTTGGACATTAGGAAATACTTCTGTGAGGGAGTGCTCAGGTGCTGGAATGGGCTGCCCAGGGAGTGGGGGAGTCACCATCCCTGGAGGGTTCGAGAACATTCAAGAAACGTTGAGATGTTGTACTGAGGGACATGGTTACTAATTTTGGATGACGGTGGGATGGGTTGGGGTTGGACTTACTGATCTTAGTGGTCTTTTTCCAGCCTTAATGATCCTGTGATTACTGTGCAGCTGTGTCAGGGCATAGGTACCTCTGCACTGCTTTTCTGTTCTAATATTCTTCATCCCCTTCCTCCCCCCAGTCCACTAGCACTGATGTATTTATGCAAACTATCTGGACCCCAACATGTTGCAGCTGCCGCCTGTGAGCCCTCAGCACTTTTCTCTCCAGTGGGAGTGGGAGTGAGGTACAGAGCAGTGCTGACCTGATAGGTTCATTGCGTTTTGCTTTTGTTGCACTGATTTGTTCCAATGTTCAGCTCAGTGATTGTCAGCATGCAGCTTCCTGAGCTGCAGTGCTTGGCTCCTATTCAGTTTGCTGTGTTTGTGGTGCAGGGATTGTTTTGCAGCCGCAGTGTTGCCCTTGTACATTAGTGTCTACAGCTCTGCTGTTGCGAGTGAATAAGTGATGAAGGTGGAGGCAGGCTACTTGGGGAGATTACAAAGAAGTAGCTAAAGTATGCAGGGAGGAGGTTAGGAACGCGAAAGCCCAACTTGAGCTCAGGTTGGCCTCTGCAGTAAAAGACAATAAAAAATCCTTTTATAAATATACCAATTGTGAAAGAAGAACCAAAGATAATTCTCATCCTATACTTGATGCAGCAGGGAATGTGGTCACTGAGGACAAGGAGAGGGCTGAGGTTCTCAATTCCTTCTTTACATCTGCCTTTAATAGCCAGATCAGTTATCCTCTGGGCTTTTTATGCCCCGATCTGGAAGTCTGGGACGCTGCTTAGAAGATGCCCCCAGCAATTCCGGTGGAGGCAGTCAGAGAGCTCCTCCTCCGTCTGGACTGCCACAAGTCCATGGGACTGGATGGATGGACTACACCCTCAGGTGCTGAGGGAGCTGGCAGGGGTGATTGCCGAGCCCCTCTCAGCCATCTATCAATGCTCCTGGTTAACTGGTGAGGTCCCAGAGGATTGGAGGCTTGCTGATGTGACTCCCATCTTCAAGAAGGGCCATAAGGAGGATCTGGGGAACTATAGGCCTGTTACCCTGACCTCGTTACCAGGGAAGGTTATGGAGCAAATCATCTTGGATGAGATTGCACGGCATGTGCACTGTGTCCAGGGCATCAGGCCCAGCCAGCACAGGTTCGTGAAAGGCAGGTCATGCTTGACCAACCTCATCTCCTTCTGTGATTGGGTGACCAGTCTGGTAGATGAGGGAAGGGCTGTTGATGTAGTCTTGTGTATAGGAACTGCTGAGTCACGGCCTGAACCTCTGATTGATCACCTGAGGCGAGCCATGAGGCAGCCGTAGGAGCACAGGTGAAGGCAATTCAGCTGTGCTACCGGAAGGGGTGGAGCCTGGCTGCACCCCTCCTAGACCTATTGAAGAGCTGGCTACCAGTGGAGAAGGATCTCTTCTGGAGATTGCCTCTTCTGGTGTTTTGTGGGTGGGCCCAGCATAAGTCTTCCATTTATTCTCTTTTGTTATCATAGTCTACTTCGCCTAACTCTCTTGTTTATTTTGTGATTATAATATCTTAATATCCATCAATAATACATCTTCCTAGACTTCAGCAAAGCCTTTGACACATCCCTCATAGGCTTCTTCTGGGGGAACTGGCTGCCCATGGTCTGAACTGATATACACTTCCATGGGTAAGGAACTGGCTAGAAGGCTGTGTCTAGCGGGTTGTGGTGAATGGAGTGAATTCCAGCTGGCGACCCGTTTCAACTGGTGTCCCCCAGGGGTCGGTACTGGGGCCCGTCTTATTTAATATCTTTATTGATGACCTAGATGAGGGGATTAAGTGTACCGTCAGTAAATTTGCAGATGACACCAAGCTGGGAGGTGGTGTCGATCTTCCTGAGGGCAGGGAGGCCCTTCAGAGGGATTTAGACAGGCTGGACCGCTGGGCTGAGGTGAATGGGATGAGGTTCAACAAGGCCAAGTGTTGGGTCCTGCACTTTGGGCACAACTACCCCATGCAGCGTTGTAGGACTGGGGATGAGTGGCTGGATGACTGTGAAAAGGAAAGGGACCTGGGGGTGTTGGTTGATGCTCGGCTGAACATGAGCCGACAGTATCCCCAGGTGGCCAAGAGGGCCAATGGTATCCTGGCCTGCATTAGAAATGGTGCAGCCAGCAGGAGCAGGGAGGTGAGCATCCCCTGTACTCAGCACTGGTGAGGCTGCACCTCGAGTACTGTGTTCAGTTTTGGGCCCCTCACTACAGGAAAGATGTTGTCCTGGAGCGTGTCCAGAGAAGGACAGCAAAACTGGTGAGGGGTCTGGAGCACAAGTCTTACGAGGAGCGGCTGAGGGAGCTGGGATTGTTCAGTCTGGAGCAGAGGAGGTTCAGGGGTGACCTCATTGCACTCTACAACCTCCTGAAGGGAGGTTGTGGTGAAGAGGGATTTGGCCTCTTCTCCCAGGCAATGAGCAGGACATGGGGTAATGGCCACAAGTTGTATCAGAGGAGGTTTAGATTAGACATAAGAACTTTTTCTCTCAGAGAGTGGTCAGGCACTGGAATGGCTGCCCAGAGAGATGGTGGAGTCGCTGTCCCTGGCAGTGTTCAAGAGGCGTCTGGAGGACGTGCTGCATGATGTGGTTTAGTGCTGGTGGTGGCAATGGTGATAAGGAGACGGTTGGACTAGATGATCTTGTAGGTTGTTTCCAACCTTGTGATTCTATGATTCTATGATTTAATAGGGATTTCCAAGATGTGTTCTCATGGCTATCCTGCTCCCATCTGAGACATACCAGGTGTTGATTTACAACCTTCCTTCTTGGTCTTTGCAGGTTGGCACAGGTGAGATGGAGTCGCTACAACCCCAGCTTCCTAGAGCCAGAAGTGAACAAAGAATTGTATCAGAAACCTTTTAATGAGCTGTCTGAAGAGGAAAAGGAAGAGCAAGAGCTTAAGGCTGTTCGTCCCATAAAAGCAGCTCCTCCTAGTATCTCCAGCTCCGTTTTCAGCGACCCTATGATCAGGTCAGAGGAAGCACCATCTCTGTTAAACTAGGTCCTATGGAGCCAGATACTTGGGAGCTGGACTATCCTTCTTGGCCTTTTCTTGCTGTGCTGCATGTTGCCTTCTGTAACAGCACAATCTCTTTGAGTTAATCTTTTCCCACAAAGCCAGTCTGTTAACTGATAGTGATTAGAGATAGTTTAAGCAGATCTAGCAGCGCCCAGACTTAAGCATGTGAAAAACGCAAGGGTGGGGACACTTATCTTGCAAGTGATGAACTGAGAATTTAAATCAGATTGCTTTTGTGTTCCCAGTAAATTCACCAATATGATGATGAAGGATGGAAATAAAGTGCTGGCCAGAAGCCTCATGGCTCAGGTGAGTGCTCATGCTTCTTCCTTCTAACTCTTAATGCCTTATATTCTGTATGCTTTCCAATGAAGGCCCACAAATGTGTCACTTGTATGACACATTTTCAACCCCTGCTCTGACCTACAATAATTGGTATTAGTTGGTGTTGTTCCAGCTCTTAAAATGGGGATATGTGTTGCCCAAACTGCTAATTACATAGGCTGTGGGATCCTGAACACCAGGCTTTGGAGGAGAAGATGCTTCACGCACATTATTGCTGATCCATATTGCTGTCTCTGCTTTTTCCCATCCCTCCCTCGGCACCTGTCCCAAGTCATGCTACTTGACCTCCTCACCTCAAATGCAATGTCTAAGGAAGATACTGAGAATCTGGAAGAAAGTGAAGTAAAATTATTTGAGTAAGAGAATCCCTGATGGGCCTGTTACCTGTAGGACTAAAAAACCAGCTGTAGGTTCAATTGTATATGGAATTCTTGAAAAAGTGGTATAATTCCATGGGATAATCTATCTGCTCTGCCTATCTCCTTTCTTGACTTTATCTCAAGACTTTAGAGAACATTAAGAGGAAGCAACTGGAAAAGTACCACAGAGCTCCAGATGATGAGAAGGAGACAGTTGAATGCAACCCTTATGTCATTTTCCACCAGGCTCTGAAAAACTGCCAGCCTATCATTGGACTCAGCAACATCACAAGAGGTGGCAAAACCTACCAGGTGATATGAGGGGGTCTTGAGCACATCTGGTCAGGGGAGAATTAGCTAGGGAAGCAAATGTGTTAGTTGCTACCCCTTCAGCTCAGCCATTCCTCTTCCCCAGGAAGAAAAGCAGTTTGCAGTCTGGATTAAAACAACACCTATCCGGGATTACACCCCTAGCCTGTGAGCATGGTAATTTCTGAAGACAGACTGAGGGAGCTGGGCTTGTTCAGTCGGGAGAAAAGACGTCATTGCAGCCTTTCAGTACCTAAAGGGAGCCTACAAACAGGAAGGGAATCAACTCTTTGAAAGGGTAGATAACAGCAGGACAAGGGGAAATGGGTTTTAAGTGGAGGGAGGGAAGATTTAGGTTGGATGTCAGGGGGAAGTTCTTTGCTATGAGAGTGGTGAGGTGCTGGAACAGCTGCCCAGAGAGATTGTGGATGCCCTGTCCCTGGCGGTGTTCAAGGCCAGATTGGATGGGACCCTGGGCAGCCTGGTCTAGTATTAAAGGGAGAGGTTGGTGTCCCTGCATGTGGCAGGAGGGTTGGAGTTCCATGATCCTCGAGGTCCCTTCCAACCCTGGCCATTCTGTGATTCCCTTAGAGGCATTAGTCGGTTTCTCTGACTAGATAAGAAGTAGGATGTTGTTGTGATTTAACCCAGCAGATAGCTAAGTACTACACAATGATTCACTTACCCCCCCCTCCTCCCCCCTTCCCACCCCAGTGAGATTGGGGAGGGAATTAGGACAAAATGCAGTGGAATTTGTGGATTGAGATGAAGACTATTTACTAAGAAAAAAAAAGTGAAAGAAAATAACAGTATTTATACATACATACATATACATATATGCATATATGTATATACATAGACAAAAACAAGGGATACACAAAAGCAATTGCTCACTACCCAACAGCCAATGCCCAGCCAGTCCCCAAGCAGCAGCCTCTGCCCAGCTAACTGCTCCCTTATATTTGCATGATGTCATATGGTATGGAATACCTCTTTATTCAGTTTGGATCAGCTGCCCTGGGCCTGTCTCTTCCCAGTCTCCTTGCTGGCAGAGCAATACAAGAAGCTGAGGAGCAGGAATGTCCTTGGAACTGCCCAGCAATAAGTATAAACAATGGTGGGTTATCAGTTTTGTTTTTCTTTTTATGCCAAACATAGTGAAAACTTTGAGAAAAACTGATTTCAGTGGAACTAAGACAGATATGCAGCAAACATTGCCTAAGGAGTCAGAGATCAGTGGAAAGCAGCAAAAGAATCCGCAGTACTAGCGCTAGCGGTCCCACCCTCTTTGCTACATCATGGCACTTGAGTAGAAGCTCCAAAGCTCTGACTTGGGTCACTGTAGCAGAAAAGATCAAAGGTAACAGTGCAGGCTGCTGTCGCTCTCTGTACAGTAACTGTTGTGGTTTAAATGTGTCCCAGGTCCCAGTGCCTTTGAAGGACAACCGGAAGCGCTTCTTGGCCATGAAGTGGTTAATCACTGAGTGCAGGGAGAACAAGCACCGCCGGACGCTGATGCCTGAGAAGCTCTCCGAGGAGCTGATCCAGGCCTTCAACAACGAAGGACCCATCATCAAGAAGAAGCATGTGCTGCACAAGATGGCAGAGGCCAACCGGGCTTATGCCCACTTCCGCTGGTGGTAGGGCCGCCGCACGGGGTGCACACACTGCAGAGCTCTGTCACTGCTATCAAGGCCTGGGGAGCGGAGTCCCAGGGCCACCTGGTTGAGAGAAGCTGGGGATTAGAGGGAAAGGTGGAAAATCCCTTCTGGACAGCTTCTGAACTAAGCCAAGGAAAGTTTCTCTAGTCCCCACACAGTTCATTTGCTTTGTGCTTATCTGGATGGGAAAAGGGGGAATCTGAAGTAGTTACTGATCCCTGCACAGATATGCTAGTTTTTCGTAATCACTTTCCTGTGGAGACAAGCTTTAGATGCAACGCTGTACAAAATATTCTACTTAATGTGTTTCCTAGAGACTTTTAAATCTCTGCTCTTGCAGCAACATTTTTCTCTTTCTGGCTGCATAAGTAGGAAAGAGCAGATCTGGAGGGTTTTTTTCCCGCGCCATAACTAGCCTTGACTTTCAGTTCTGCTCATCAGCAACAATGCATGGATGTCAGGGAGATGTTAACAGAAAAAAAATAATACCAATGCTTTATGGAGAAGGTTTCTTGATTCCAAACCTTTGTCTGTTGCTTCAATCTCACACTGTTCTTTCCAGCTTCTCTAGTTGCATGAACCCCCTCTGTCATTCTATTCGGGAAGAAATAACATCAAAACCTTCTTGCCTCAGTCAGGACCAACTTTTTAGTATTGCTTACATCTCAGCAGATGCTCAGAGAGAAAGCAGGGCACATGTTAGTGGAAAACTTTTATTACAAAAGACACCCAATAGACTATTTTGTTTTCTTTCTTCCTTCCCCATTCTTATTCTCATACCATATACAAACATACCATACTTGAACCTTAATAGATTTTGAAAAGACCCAGAACAGTTACTGTATAAAACATATTAAAAAAACTTGTTTCTAGCTACATGTGCTCAAGAACCCTTATCCTGCTGAAGATGCCAGCAGATATTGGTAGCTAATAACCCACAGTCATACACCTATGCAGAGACTGGAAGTAATCAGTGGAAAGCAGCAATTTGGCGAGCTATTTGTGATGTATCTGACCACAGTGTTTTCTATAACTTTTCCTAAACAACCTGGTCTGGGACTGTGAGCTGTGAAATATTTCTCCTTTGCCTCCCTCAGCAGTGTTGGCTCTTGGCTCAACCACCATGCTCTCAGCTTTCCTTAATACTTGTATAAAATGCTGGTTTAAGCCTTCCTTGCCTTCTGCTGGCAGCAGACCATCATTAAACAAAATGAGTGGAAGAACTTGCTGGTTTCAGTGTGCCCCCCTGCCTAAATATCCAAAATCAGGCTAGCACCGGTCACAGACTGATAGATGACAGTTAAATACCCAGAGGCTTTAGCCAGGATAAATCCTATTTACAAGAAGTGCTTAAAAAAAGAAAAGAAATTCAAACTTGGTATGAAGCTTGCTGGTGAAAGTGCTGTGGACATCTCTCCACCTCTGCTGTAGAGGGCTTAATCTGTCACTTCGCTATAATAATATTTCTGGGCAGCATCTGTCATCTTCCAGTCAGCAGCCCGAAACTCAATGATCTCCAGCAGCAGGAGCTGTGACAGGGAGCTGAGCCCCTCCTGTAAAAGGAAGCCATCTCGAAGGAGTGAGAAGAGCTCATCCATCCGCTGGGAGTTCATCTTCTCCAGCTGTTCACCAATGCGGTGGAGCTGTAGGACCAAGCAGTCCACCTTCAGAGGGAAGAGAAGGAGATGGTTGAGTACAAAGGAATTAAGAACTTTGGCGTATCACTGGAGGCCCCATCAGTCACTTCTGGATCGACTCATGCTGCTCCTTCTGCTCTGAATTTTCAAGAGGTGACAGTTCTGTTCCCTCAAGTTGCTGTGATCCAGAAGGCTGAATGTCTGGAAAGTGCTGGGAAAACACATCCTGAAATCCCCTACCTTGTGAGCAAAATTGCCAGAAAAATGAACCATTAACGGTTTTACCTTTCTGCAGGATGCAGAACGAGTTGGCAAGACCGAAGGCAGAAGCTGGAGTAAGAACAGAGGGAAATAGGTGGAACGCTTTCTAGAAATCCTAGAAAGTCAGGAGATGTACAGGAAATGGGCACAGACTGAATCTTTGGCTAGGAGGGGTAAGTCAGTGAATCACAGGGATGGGAGATTTGTGCTGAGGAAAAAAAAAAAACAACAAAGGGCCCCATCCAAGGGCTCATACACTTTACAGTAGTCCATGGGCAGCTCAAACATGCCCTGAGTATGTTTCTGCACTTTTATATGCTGACCAGACACATATAAAGATAAATTCCAGAAGAGCCTGGAGCCTGCTGGCATTTGGCACAGCATCAGCTCTGCAGGCCCAGACGGATGAGCAGCAGCTACACAAAACATTGTGCATGTCACTGAGACCTGCAGGACACACACAAAAACTCTGTAGGCAGGCAGCCACTGCAGTATCTGCCATCACCTCCCATGGCTGCAGTGCCCCAGTAGATCAGTCTGACAGCTGCTTTTCCAGATGTCCAGCAACTGGGGTTGCCAGAAAAGCAGCTGCTTTCTGTGAAAATAAGAGACAGTAGTTACGTTTTTCTTGTATGACGGGAGATGAACTTGCAGAATGCTAGACATCCCTTATCTCAAGGATTGGCTGTGCTGCTGGGTCTCTGCAGCAGTCTGCAGCCAGTAATGACATAGCCACAGGGAAAAAAAAGCTATGCAAGAGAAGGATGTGTAGCATGGGCAAAGGAGCCACAATTAGCACCTCCATCCTGCTTCTTTCTGCAGTGCAAGCCCTCTTGTCCAGTAGGTTTCCTTCCAGCACGTAATGGGGAGTAAGGCTCCTGCCTGGCCCTAATGCTCTCTTCACCCCCCAGAGCTGTGCTTTTTGCTTGTCCTTAACTGAACAAAGGGTACATGACCAACCCTCCTCACCTCTTCTTCCTTCTGCAGGCTATCATGCTGTGCTAGTCGGAACAGACAGTCGTAAACAGGGTTCACCAAAGCCATCATGGGCATGTTGTTCACCTGTAAAGAGGCAGGAGCTATTGTCAGCTTGGTGGCAGAAGGGGAAGAGTCTCTTCGGCTATTTTAGATAATTCTTCTCTTGCTGCATTTCAAAGAAGGGAAAAAAACTGTGCTGCCAAATGCAGTAATGGTGTTATTTACATAGAAAACCAGACTTTTGACTCTCCAACAGCCACAGAAACTCAACAAGCGATGAGGAAACATCTATTTTTAAATGTAAACAGGTAGTTATGGGAAATACGCTTCTTGTATCAGCATTCTTCCTGCCTGCAGGAATTGCATCACTTTTACATCCACACCAAGCAGGCATCTAAAGCACACACTGCAGCAAAGGCTTGCAGATAAATTCCATTATTATGTGGGTTAGAAATTATTTGATCACCTAAGTGACTAAACAAAATGCAGTTACCCTTAGACTTAACAGCAACTAGTTTGATCTAGGATATTCAGAGCAGGTTAAATGAGGGGATTTCAAACACCAGGTATGAAACACAGTAGCTCAGACTTTGTGACTGTCCCCAGAGCCATCTCTGCCTCTTCAAGGCTGATTACTTGCTCGTATGTAGCAATAACCTGGGAGCATCCTCATTCTGAGAACTGGCTTTGGTCCCACTCTGCTGAGCTATGGCCCTGGGATGTTGTAACACACATTTGACACTTCTACCCTGGGCCCTTCTGGTACCCTTCAGCCAGGTACTCCTGCTCTGGCTCCTTACCTTCAGGTAGTCAAAGATGTTGCAGATGAATGTGACGTAGCAGATCCACGCCTGCAGCGACCGGTTGCGCAAATCCTCTCTGTCCTTGTACTCCTGCTGCAGCCGGTTCAGCAGGCTCCTCCGGAAGATGCTCTGGCCGACCTGTTTGCTCTCTGCCTAAGACCCCACAAAAGCAGGATGGAGGGATGAAACTGGGGCAGAGAGGGGCAGGGGGGATAGGGATTTGGATGTTGCAGGACCATCCCGATACCCTCCTGTGATGCCCAGAGACATAGAAAGGCTGCAGCTGTCTGCACCCACCAGCTGCACATCTGTATCCTGCCAGTGCAGGGGCCAAGTGGAAGAAGGGAGATGCTAGCTGAAGAGTCAGAGTGCAGGGCTAGAAGATGTCCTGGCCTAGCACAGGTTAGCAGCATTTTACTGTCTAGACACAAATATCTCTTACCTGGATGATGGTGTAGCAGATGCGCCCTGCCTCTTTGCTGAACACACAGTCTTTGAGGGACTGGTCAACTATAACATTGGCCACTTTGTCCAGGTCCACATTGCTGGGGTCTGTAGAGGGGAGAAATACTGTCTGGATCCAATATTTCTTGTGCCTTGCTTGCTCCAAGATACCTGGGAAGCAACCAAGGTTGGCATGGAGCACCATACAACTATGTCATATGGTACAAAAACTCATGCTCACTCCCACAGTCCCTCTTGCACACCATCTGCTTTGGAGATACCACCTCCAACAACTGCACAGACTTTTCAGGCTGGATACAGCCATAAAGATGCAAAAGTGATGGAGAAAAACATGGTAATGAAGGGAGGCAAGAAGTTGATCTGTATCTGAAGTCCCAGCACTGCTTTGAAGTTGGGCTAGTGGCAGACAGATAAGCAAATTCCCACCAGGCTTTGAATAGAGACATGACCTGTGAGCAGGAGACACTGGGGGACAGGGTGCAGAAACTGGGCACAGAGAGAAGAGTGAGGGGCAAGATCTGAAGAGAGATGCTGAGTGAGAACAAGAGAAGAAGGCACCAGTGATGAGAGAAAAGCACTATGATGAGCATGGTCCTCTGAGAACCTGGATTTGAACAGCTAGCCCATGATTCAACAATAAGGTAGAGGTGGGAGAGAAGAGGCAGGGAACAAAGAACCTCCTGGAGGGATTCAGTCCCGTATCAACAGCGTTTATGAAACAGCTTTTCTACACTTAGCAATTGGTGACAGCAGAAGGGGCCCAAGTATCTAGCCACACCAGTGAGCCAAGCTGTGTGTGGCAGAAAAGCTAGAAAAAACCTGCTGACCTTTGAGTGCTGTTTTCAGCAGCTTCTGAGTCTCAATGTCAAACGACTGTATTTTATACTCTTCTTTGCCTGTTTCCCCCATGACTGGCTTCCTCCAACAGCAAGAATCAGGGGAACAGATGTGCTAGCAGCAGCCCCTGTGAAAAGAGCAAACAGGACTTAGTTGGCCAGAGAGCCCAGACCTCCACCTAGCCTGGCAAGTCCCATCCAGTCCTGGAGCCCAGACTTCTACCTCAGCCCTCCAGACAATAAGAAGTATCCTGTTAATACAGCATCCAGCTCCAGCCCTAAGTCTGGGCAAAGACCAATTCCCACATTTGTTTAAGTCTTGCTTCCTACTAGCTTATGACAAGGAACTTTTGGGCTGCATCTTACATTCTTCTGATGTGAAAATCAGTCTATTGATTTGCAGATTTAAGGACAGCACACCAAATCAATCCCCCAAAATAACTGTCTTCGTCCAGAAGGCTTCCCTGTGGTTACACCAAGGAGAAGTACTTATGCAGGAGCACTCCATGCAGCCACTCTTTTGTGCCTTTGAAACAGCAATTCAGATGATTTCACACAAAGCCTGGGAAGATTCAAAACCAACACCTAAGCAATCCAATCTACACTCTCCTCCTGCAACGGAATGAGGTCCCTTCAACTGCCAGAACACAGCAGAACACCGGAAAATGTTCAGCCAAATTCCAGCACGGCTTCTATCTCATCCTTTTGCAGCTCTCTACAGTGTTGAATAATCTCTAGATTAATTTGTTGCTGGTTTGTGAGGCAGCAAAGATGGCAAGAGGGTAGACACGGCACAGAGGCAGGGTTTCCTCTGACACACACAAGACATTCTGCAGGATGAAAAATGCCAGGCTACCAGACCTGCAGCACAAACAGGGAGAAGGCAATTTAACAAATTAGTTTTGCCAGCTCTTTGAAATTCCTCATCTGTTGCTCACTGCTCTGTGCAAAAGGTCCCTTCCACAATTAAAGCTGAAGAGCTTGTTGCCCTTTAGAGGCGCATTGACGGATCACAAACAGCCTGACTGACGGATGCTCTCCTTCCCACAAAGCTGTGGCACAACACATTAACAACCCACACCATTCAGCAAAGCTTGCTGGCACAGAAGAGGCCCAGGTCTGCCCTCCTTGGTGCCTTTTAGGGAGGCCCAGGGCAGACCCTGCCCCATCGGGGCTGCCACAAGCCAACAGCACTCACAGCTTTCCTCTGCATACCATTACTTACCTCCAGACTGCACTAAAGTTTCCTCCCAGATGGATTCAGAACAGCTGGGCACCCCTACACCGTGTCCAGCAGGAAGACCCCTTCCAATCTAAGCTGTCCCCTATTTGCACTGTTCTCTCTCCGTGTACCTGCACTCAAACCGCTCTTCATGGCAGCCTGAGCTCACCGGCAGGCCCACGTCCTGCTGACAGCACAGCCCATGGCGAAAACCTAGCCAAAGCGTGGCAGGGCAGTGAGGCAGCACAAATCTGAGCCCGTCTGGCAGCGTCTGCGCCGTCACCGCCCACTGCCTCCCCGAGAGCTTCACGGGATCCTCGGGGACGGAACTTTGTGCAGCGCCAAGTAACCCTGCCCAGAGCAACCTGAAAGGCGTGAGCATAAAAGCAGCACCAGAGTGAGATCTTTCCGCTTGGTCTGTCAGCCTGGCGGCAGTGCCCTTAGCACAGTTATCTCCAAGTATCCTACCGAAACCACACCGTGATAAGCCATCTTAGTGCGATCTGGAGGGATGTGGTTGGGGTGAGCACCAGGGCCCGGTACCCCGCCAGGTGCGAACCATCACAGCGGCGGGGAAGAGAGCAGTGAGCCTCCTTTCCCACCACCGAGCCGTGGCCACCCGCGGCCGTCCGGAGCACCCAGTGTCGCCCGGTCCCGACACCACCTCCTAGTCGCCGGACTCCCAACCCTCACTCAGGCCCAGCGGCCCCGGGGACAGAACGGGGTTGGACGGTCCCGGGGAGCTCCTGGCAGGGCGCGGGGAGGGGGGGGGGGGGGAGGACGGGGCGCGGCCGCACCGACCTGCCGGGCCGCCCCTTGCTCCTCCAGCCTCCGAGGCTGCGCAGGGCGGACCGCGGAACGCAGCGCCATCACCGCGGCGCCCCGGACCCGCCGCGCCGACACCGCCCCAGGTTTCCTCTTAGGTCATTTCCTCGCCCGAGACGGGGAAGGGCGGGAGGGGGCAGGGCGAGGGCCGGGCCGGGCGAGCGCCTGCAGCGCCACAGCCGGCAGCGCAGGGCCACGGCGGGGCGGGGCCGGCGCCGCTCCTCCCCGGGAACCCCCCAGCACCGCCGGCCGCCCCCGAGATCCCACCTCACCCCTCCCGGTGCTGTGAGGGCCGCGCTCACCTCATCGCGCCTCGTCTCGCCGAGCTCCGGGTGAGAATCGCGCTTATTCCCCATTCACGTCAGGGTGAGCTGCAGCAGAGCAGCTCCAAGCCCCTGCTGTGGTGCTGCTTGCTGCCGAGTATAAAAATTAGTATGAAAATTCATGGAAAAGGAGATTAAACACCTCACGCTTTCAAGAGCTTGCTGAATGCAGTTTAACTCAGACGGAGCACACAGTTTTTTTTCTCTCAGGTCGGGAAGCTCATTCAGCTCTTGGTGTTACTGCAGCTTTTACCAGACAGCAATGCAGCCAGAACGCTGAAAATGGAAAACAGCCAGAGGAAATGCAGAGTGAGCAGTTTGGAACATTTTCTGCAGCATTGTGTGGCCTGGCTGAAAACAAAGCCTGAAATCCTTCACCGTGGATTTGCGGCTCAAGACAAAGCCCTGGCTGTGACTGTTTTGTGCAGTTCCCAGCGATACTCAGTGCAGAGAGGATAGCACAGCTCTGCCTGCCAATGGCTCCCAGGAAGCAGCTCCTGCCCCGGCAATCGTGCAGGGTCCAACTGCACACACTGACCGGAAGGGAAGGAATGAGAAACTGCAGCCAGACACGAGCACAACGAAGTATTTAATGTCTTGTCTTTATGAAGGTAGCCACATGCTTTAAGCACTTTGTGCTCACGTGCCTTCAGATGACAGCAGCTGCAAAAGATCTACCCAGACAACAGAGAGAATTATTGTTCTGCATCACAATAACAGCTTAAATGCAAATTAAAAACAGTCAATTCCAGAACCAACTGTAAAACATTCATTTATTTTTAAAGATGATGCTACTGGATGAGCACCCATACAACCATCTAGGAACTCAGAGATGGTCAGTGCTAAAGGAGACAGTGCATCCATCACAGAATTTGTGCGTAAGGGCTCTCCCATTTCAGGCAGGTATGGTGGACCCCCATTGCCACAGTGTGCTTTGTGCAATCCCAGAATCGTAGAATGGCCTGGGTTGAAAAGGACCACAACGATCATCTAGTTTCAACTGTCCTGACATGCGTGGGGTCACCAACTACCAGACCAGGCTGCTCAGAGCCACATCCAGCTGAGATGTAATGCTCTGCCTAAGTGCTTTTGGACATTATCACAATAGAAGGCACTGGAGGAAAACAAGTACAACAGCCAAGCGCTTGAGAGGTGAATTTCAGGCTACACAAATCCCTACTGACAGGGTTACATCAGTGAATCCCAGCTATCCCAACAGTTGGACTCTGGTGGTCTCACAGCAAGTCACCCACCGCAGGGTTCACTTGGATCTGCACTGAACTGCAAAACTTTTAAGAGATAATCTGTTCTGTTGTACAGAAGAACCAGGGGACTACAGCTATCTCCCGTTCTTCCGGTTCTAGGAAATTTTGTTTCAAATGGTGTTCATGGGTTTTGCTTGGGCAGCATCAGAAAGAAGAGCTACCACAGTTCTTTGCATTACACGGCTCTTACTCCCTAAAGTAACATTGCCATTACAGTGGTTCCCCAACAGCAACTCTCAGTCTGTCACGTGCACATCTCAAACTCCTCATGGACAGATGCTGCTGACCAAAGCAATGGTTAGGTGCAAATTCCAATATTGTACAGTTGAGGTTGTCACCTCTTTCTCCTCCACTCACTGAAAGATCAGCTGCCTTTATGAGCCTCTAACATTTATGCCTAACGGCCCCCATGACGGACGTATAAACCAGGTCGCATGCCAAAGCTCTGCCCGAGGAGAGCCTCTTACAGAGCCCAGGCTGGACTGACGTAACTTAAACACTGACACCTGCTGGAAGCAAATCATGCGTTGCGGAGAAAATCTATCCGAGGGACAAGAGGCTGCCCTATGCTCTCCATTGCTGCCCCTTCCATGGAGCAGGCAAGCACTACACACCCTGAAGCAGTTTGCCTGAATGACCTCAAGCCCCACAGCACATTCAAGGGACATAATCTTAACAGAGTGCAGTTTTGTGCTCTTTATTCTTTGCCTCTGTGACAACCAAAGAAAATCATCCTCTGTTCCAGAGCTTACATTTCTCACTGCTGAGTTCCTACCCAGTTTACCTCTATTGTGTGCATCTGAACTCTTTCACAGAAAACAAGAGTCCTGTAATGTTTAAATAGGACAGATGGCTCCGGATTTCCTATGGGGGTATGGAGGTCTAAGTCAGCATGGAAACTTTTCTGTACTTGCTATAGCATTCCTCTCTACCAGTAGCCAAAAAAACAGTAACAACCCCAACCTATGTCTGTTTTGAAGGATGTCATGAGGCTCAGTTCATGACCGGTTATGATGTACGCCAAGTCATTATGGGCTATGATGCCTTCCAAGAATAACAGATAAACAGTAAACAAAGGCAAAATATTTTAAAGCACATTTTGAGGAGACCTCATTAGAGCCTATGTAACACAGGAAAATGCCAGTGGGATTGAGGAACTCTGAGAAAACTTGTCAGCATTTTCATGCCCATTTTCTTAATGCATGCATTTAAAACTCCTCTTTAGAGGCTCATATATCAGCCTCCTATCTGACAATGCACAGTGACTCAAATTTTATATAGCTCTCAAAATCATCTGCAGTAAGAATTTCACTGGATATCTCATCCACCAGTGAAACAGCTGCTTTTTAAAAAGAGCCTCTCACAATAGCTCAGGATAAGTAACACTGATATGCAATCAAAATCGCTTGAGAAGCTCGTATCAACAGAATGGAATTGGTCATGCTGGAATTTGACCAGACCATTTGGGATTAACACCCTGATGATTGTAAAAATGTCACAGGAAACTGTTTTTAAAAAAAGACTCTAGCATAGTTTCCACTGGACTTTCCTTCACCGTTCCAACATAGTCTAAATTAAATCTACAAAGCACTTGTTCACCCACCTCATTGCAGCAGGGAAACAAAAAACTATGAAGTAAGAATTGGGCTTGTGCGTTGAAACCTCACAGAGTGGGGTTCTTCTCCCTTTGGGTTTATTTGTAAAAAGCACAACCAAGGCAATGCAAAATCTTGAGAGAAAAGACATGCCAGAAGAGAAATTGGCACTTAAGATACAATCAAGCTGACCAGAGGTAAAGGGAGAACAAGCTCGAGTTAGCACGATCCACTAGAAGATGCTGTGTTTACAACTGGCACAGCCAGCAAGCTGTAATCGAGAAAAAAACGACCGTCAGCAAAGGAAACGAAAACCAAGCATCTGTGTATGCTGAAGTGGTTTTAGCTGTCTTTTCAAATCTGGTGCAGATCTGCCTGTGCAACAGAGAAAAGAATAAGCTGTGAAGAGCAGGCCGAAAGGAAGAAAATAAAGTTGTGCAAATGCAGCATTAAGCGGCGCTATGTTGGTGAGGCAGCACCAGCTGTCCAGGACCCGTCTGTGACCCACGGCAAGCACAAGCACTCACCCAGTTTACCAAGTGTCTTGTCAGAGCACAGGCTGTGCCAGGTAGTTAGTTGTATGCTTGGCTGCCCTCCTCACTAAACGCACATTGGTATCAGGGGAGACAGAACAAAGAAGTGCTCTCTATAACAGCTTCCAGTAAAGCAATTCAGTGCATTTAGCACAACTGCAGTCACCTTCATCCCCTGCTTGGACACAGGACACAATTTCCTACGGGCTAGAGGAGTTCTGGGTGCTCTGACATTTCCAACATGATAAAGACAGAGCAAAGCCTTCAGTTTCCCTCTTGCAGGAGACCACTAGGTAGACAAAACACATGCCCCTTTCAGCCTCCCTTCCTCTTGGGGCTGTCAGCATTCTTAAGGGCACACAGCAGGCTGCAGAACAGCTCATAAGTAAAGAAGATGAGACCAGTAGAGACAGCAGCCTTCAGCAAGCTGGGTGAAAGGCCCTTAAAGAATCCACCAGGGCCCTCCTCTCGCATGATCTGCCTTATGCAGTCCAGGAGACCCCTGTATATCCGCACCTGGGAAAGAATGGCACAAGGTTAAAAAAAGAAATCCAGGACAGCCTACTTGCAAAAGCAACAGAAATTCCCAGATTATACCACAGAAAAACATAATCTAGACATGCAGCCTAGAGATGCTTTTCTTTTATTATAAATAACTGAAAATTTCAGAGAATCAGTTTGTTAAGAGTGCTGGTAGAGGGAAACTATATATTTTGCATCAGCAATGGCTTAAGTAGATTGTTTTAACTGAAGGTCCATAAAATCTTTATGCTACAATGGCATGCATTACTTATGGTGCAAGTTTGTGAAGCACTTATTTCAGATTGTGCTGCTATTGGTTTCCATCTCCTTCACTCTCTAAGAAGGGACAACTTCTCAGTTCTCTGACAGAAGAAAAACACATCTACAGCATTTAGAAGTCTATAAATTAACCAGCTGCACGTCATCATATCATACCACAAAGGTTTAATACTGTGACACATCAATGCTAAGAACAAACACTGTACCTCACCAGAAGAAAAGAAGCATCAAGTGTAATATGTTAAGATTTCAAGAGTTTCTTCAAATACAGGCTGATTTGCTTTTCAGACCCAGGGAATTTGAAGGAAAAAAGGAAACAACTACTTCTCAGGGAAAAACATAGATAGCTTCTTGAAAGATCTGTGGTTGCCTTAAAGCGTATTTCCAGATGTGATGAGCAGGGATAAGGAATGCCAGAAGTATTTAATTTGCTTTGAATTTCAGGACATTCTGGTACATAAAATGTATGCTTTGTATACTTTGAATCCCATTCCTTGCAGCAAAACATTAATTTCAGAAAATGATCCCGAGAGACAGGTGACCCCAGCATAAAGCTAGCATAATTCTCAGTCACCTTTTTGGTTCCAAATCACAAAA